GTAGTCTTATATCGCGAATACGACAGAGTCCAATGGTTCAAACCAAAAGACCTCAATCAGGAGGAAGACTCCAGCTTCAAGATGAGTCACTTCGGTTAGGCTTGAAAATGGTTCCCTTACAGGATGGAAACATCGCCTTTCATCGTGCGGCAGCGAGTGGAAATTCCGAAGAAGTGCGGAAAGTTCTGGCGGAGAAAAAATACGACTTGGACGCGTTGGACGAGTACGGTTTCACGGCACTGCACTATGCGGCTCAGAACAACAAAGTTTTCATCGTCAACATGCTTCTTGATTTCGGTGCTAAAGTGGCTGTTGTTGGCATAGATGGGTCAACTCCGCTTCATCTTGCCGCGAGGTAAGTTATTTACTGTATCTCTACAATGTGCTAATGTAATATCTTTACATGGGACTGGCATCAATCCAACGTGCCTTGAAAAGCATTCGCACAAGCTTTTCTGGGGACTACGGTTTCCGTATTTCGTATAAATTGCGTATTTATAATTATCTAAACACGCGAGATCAGGATATCCTGTTTAGGGTCAACGATTGAATAATTATTTGTTTCATTCCATACCCATAACGTACATACAGACGATACAAATGCCAAAAGTAACGGAGAACTACTGCGTACGAGTTGTTTGTACGTGTTTATCGGCCGGCGTGCTTCAGTATCTTCAGGTAGAACTAAGAGTTGCGCGGCAAAAATCAAGTCGAATATTTCGATTGAGAGCTGTAGATACTTTTTGTCGATATTACCCTTGCCATTTCTTACGAGAACCCTCTCGCTATCCGGTGTTCTCGGGTTTTCACTTCACGGATAGGGTCTTTAGTTGGGCCAATTTTAATACTTACAAAAGAATTTTTAATTGGCAGCCATTTATGAATAGGGTCGATTCTAAGGCAAATTCAAGTTAGTTGTGTTGGCGCGATCAATGTTTGATATCGACTGCTGTTGTGAACTCAAGCAAATACAGCAAGTATTAAACAAATCGAAGTGACTAAAATGACAAACCCAAATTTTACTCAGTCAACGTTCATAAAGTCGCACACGCTTTTANTTTCGAAGCATTGTGTAGAAAAGGATTGTGAGGGGAATAATGAAAAAATAGACGGGCGAACGAGAGATAAAAACCGTCTCGCTAAATCGCGTGTACTTTTTTCCAACTTTTTTCTTCGTCCTGGTTTTTCCGTAATTATTTCAAGACATGCAGCACAAGTCAAGCGATCCATTGATTTATTACAAGAGAAACAGTTGGGCGACCTAAGAATTCTGGTGGTGTATACTGTAAAAGCTCAAACGTTCTAAACCAAAAAGTCATCATGCATCGTCAGCTTTGGCGACAATCTTTCGGCAGCAATTAAGAATTTATCTTCTACCCTTGAACATGAGCTTTATGTGGCTTTTAAGTTTTGCGTGTTTGCTTAGTTTATTGTTTTCTTTTATCTTGTCTCGCGATCTGCAAAAAACGAAGTTTCGCCAAAAATACAGTCAGTCGTTGTCGTAATAGCTGATGAGGAACTACCAATCATACTCGGTTATTGAAAGAGTAATGTGTGTTTGTTAAATGCATTACTGTAATATCAATCACTACCAGGGGCTTCTTTCAAAATGAACCATTTAACGAGTTCTGCCAACAAGCTAGGAATCCACCACATAACCTTACTAGATTCAAATGTCAGGTCGCGTGGCACACTGTTTGAAGTTGTTTTTCGATGTTTGATCATGTACTTGTCTTTACGCAAATACTATCCCAATTCTGTTTTGTATTCCCATTAGAGTAACTCTTTTCTGCTTTAAAATGTTATAGCAATCCGTTATTACTTCAAAAAAGAGCCCTCTGCTGTTTCAAAGCCAGAGAGCAGCCCAGACTTCAAACAGTTCATCAACAGATGTGACTTGGATGGCAGTACGGCACTTCATCTCGCCGTACAAACGGGCTCCAAGGAAGTGTCCCAGGTCCTTATTCAATATGGTGCTGATATGAACTGTCAAAACAAGAGCTCGCAGACACCAATATACTTGGCAGCGGTCGGAGGACACCAGGAGGTGTTAAAAATGCTGATTTCAAAAGGTGGAAATGTGAATGCAATAGACAGCCTACAGAAAACAGCTCTGCACAGGTATTTACGACTAAACTACGTTATCAGTAAGTTTAAAGAGAACATGCCTATCTACAAAGGCCTCGGGGCAGACTGATCTGGACATTAGAAAAATGTGGACGTTATAGGGATTGGAAACAGCTTAACGTGCATTCAACCCGTTTGGTTTGTCCTTTTCAAATACAAATGTTCTCATAACTTGGCGAGCTTTGTATGCGTTTTCTCCGCTTCTTCTTTAGCGAAACAATGGGGACGATTTTTGTTTATGAGATTTCGCGCCAAAATTAGAGAATAATCTATCAGTTCATCGTGCTAATAAATTTTACAAATTATTTTGTTAGTGCCGCTGCTTTGGGATCCGTGAGATGCATCGAAATTCTCCACGAAAATGGCGCAGAAATTGACGCTAGAGATCAGAATGGCCAAACGCCTTTTCACCAAGCGGTTGCCGCTGGACAGTCTGACTGCGTCAAATTGTTCATATCCTTTGGAGCCAAGCTTTCAGCACAAGATAATCGCCTGCGTTGTTGTTTACATCTTGCCGTGGAACATGGCAGAGAAGAGACTCTTAGCATGCTGCTAAGCGAGACTGGGTCCGACTTGGTCAACATACCTGATCACAAGCAGCGGACGTCTCTTCATTACGCTTCTCGCGCTGAAAACCCGAAGGTATTCATGAGTAAAGTGTTTGAGAAATAGCTTTGAAGTTAAATGTGATTCCAAGTATGCTTCCAGCATAGACTTGTTGTTCTGCATATTATCTGTTTTCCTGGTGTTGCTGTTACACGTTCGCCAGAACATAAGCGGAAAACCCGCCAGTCCGCTTCTTGTCAGAAGTTTAAGTCAACCTTCGTACATCTTTGCAAGTGTCGTCTGTTGATGAGTTGTTTTTCTTTTCAGAACTTGCCGTTGCAGTTTTTACTTTATAGACAAATTTCTTTCTTTCTTTCTTTCCCTCCTCATCCTCCTTTTCCTCTTCCTTAGTAAACTCGAAAACAAGTTTGCTCTTGAGCCAGGGACAAACGCTAGTAACCGAGTTGTGAAATCTATAATTTTTTCTTTTCTTTAGTTATTAGAATTGCTACTTGATACCAAAGTCAATGGATGTGTTCGAGACGTAAAGCACAAAACACCGCTTCATGTAGCCGCTGACCGAGGTACCGCTCGGCAGGTTAAGGCTCTCACCCAGGCTGCGCCTTCTTGTGTTTGGCTGCGAGATGACCAGCGGAGAACTCCATTACATTACGCTGTCATTAGCATGAAAAGGTAAAGTGTAGATTGCTGTTATGTGTGTTATTACAGCAGGAACGTGCCTTGTACAGAAAATGCATTTGCTGGTTAAGCAATACGGCATTTTTAATTGTAAAAACGTTTGTAACGTAAGAGGTCGGGCTTGTAAGCATGGGGTGCTTGCAAACTGGGTTAAGATAACCGTTGAATGATGGTAATGGGTTTCAGCATACAAAAGTTAACAAGATGTACCGCTTACCACTTATAATTCGTTTCCGGCTGTTTTGCTTTGATTAGGGACTGGAAATATAGGACAGACGATTATCAAACGGAATTGTGCCATTTAATTTGATGATTCCCGGAAAATTCCGGAATTTTTCGCTACCCATGATTTTCAAGTCAATGTTTTTCATGGACGTAAGCCAATAGTGCTTGGGACATATACTTTTAACCATAAAGGGAGCTGTTTTATCCTCTGCTCATAACTTCATTTTCACCTCATCGCCTTGCAGAAAATCCTGCGTCATACTCTTGGAGATGGGTGCCGATATTAACAGCCCTGATATCGTGGGCTGGACGCCCCTGTTATGGGCTGCTAAGGCAGGAAACTTGGGCGTCGCGGAACTTCTTCTCGAGAGAGGCGTGCTCACAGATCACGTGGATATCGATGGTAACGCGGCACTTCATGTAGCAGCGCACTTCAATCAAGTAGAGACTACCAGGATTCTGATGAATTATGGGGCAAGCTTGCTGCTACTCAACAAACGTGAAATGACATGCCTTGACGTTGCTATGGAAGCGCAGAATAATGAAGTGGTGATGGTTATTGTCAAACATCAAAGGTATTGCACTACCAAACACCTTGTCTATTTGTTTTTATCTTCCATTTTATATTTCTGAGTCCAGAGATAAGCTTCATTGCTGAACAAAGTCGCAAAATCTTACTCCATAAGACGTTTTCACCGTTTCATGATCAGTTAAGATTTTAATAAAGAGACACGCTGATAAAAGAGACAAGCAAACTGACAACAGGCACGGACAGATAGCCAGGCAAGCAGACAGACAGACAGGCATGACAGAAGACAGACAGACAGACAGACAGAAAGACAGACAGACGGAAAGACAGACAGCCGGCTAGAAGAACGAACGAATGGACAGCTAGGCTCTCACTTGTAGTTTCATAACGAGAATTCACAAGACAGCAACGTGTTTGCACAATAACAATTTCACGTTTTCTTTACTTAAGGTATGCCAAAATTCCTTCCATTGAAAATCGTGATTTCTTTCTTAGGTGGCGTGAAGCTCTAACAGCTACGAGTGTCAATCCTAATCCAATGGGAAGGTTAATCGAACATTTTCCAGATGCTGCCCATGTTGTCATGGATCGGTGCATCCAAAGATCACTTTCTGAGNTCAGTTAAGATTTTAATAAAGAGACACGCTGATAAAAGAGACAAGCAAACTGACAACAGGCACGGACAGACAGGCAGGCAAGCAGACAGACAGAAAGGCATGACAGAAGACAGAAGACAGACAGACAGACAGACAGACAGACAGAAAGACAGACAGACGGCTAGAAGAACGAACGAATGGACAGCTAGGCTCTCACTTGTAGTTTCGTAACGAGAATTCACAAGACAACAACGTGTTTGCACAATAACAATTTCAAACCAAACATTTGGTTGGCGTAGAGTACACGTTTTCTTTACTTAAGACGTGCCAAAATTCCTTCCATTGAAATTCGTGATTTCTTTCTTAGGTGGCGTGAAGCTCTAACAGCTACGAGTGTCAAACCTAATCCAATGGGAAGGTTAATCGAACATTTTCCAGATGCTGCCCATGTTGTCATGGATCGGTGCATCCAAAGATCACTTTCTGAGCGCTCCATCAAGTATGATTTCACCCTCCTAGATCCAGGTCCCGACGACCAAAGTGGCGCAAAAGCGGAACGTTTCCTGGGCCTGTCGACCATGGTGAAACATAAACAACAGCTTCTCCTGACTCACGCGCTCTCTCGTAAGCTGATGGTGTTGAAGTGGAGGAAGTTCGGCTGGTTTGTCTACGGAGGAAATCTCTTTCTTTATTCAGTTTTTCTCGTATTTCTGACGATTTTTGTCCTGACGGAGAGAGACACGCTTTCTTTCCCAGAGCCTCCAGAGCCTGGCGAAAAACCAGAAATCGAAGATGACTTCTTCCAAGAGAGAAATAGTTTCAACCAGGCTGTGCCCTACATCGTCATTGCATTCGCAATCTTACACCTTGCAAAAGAGCTTTATCAAATTTACTCGCAGAGGTTTCGTTACTTCACAGAGTGGTCCAACGCCTTGGAATGGACGTTGTACATTACTGCATTATTGTTCGTTTTGCCCTACATTTCTGACGACACTTCTCTCAGACATGAGTACGATATTTACTGGCAGATGGGAACGTTTTCTATCTTTTTTGGCTACATCAACCTAATCCTAATCATAGAGCCACTTAAGTACTTTGGTTTGTATGTGACCATGTTCCTCGAAGTAATGAAGACCGTGCTAAAGGTTTTGTGTTTGTTCGTGATGTTCACCTTGGCCTTTTCGATGGCGTTTTTCATTTTGTTGAAAGAACAGGTAAAATAAACAAACCTCTTGAATATTTCAGTATGTATCATTGCATTAGCGCACATGGTCTCAGGTCAACTTAGCCATGGATGTGTTGCGTCCTAAGTGTCATGTACATCGAAGAGGAATTATATAAGTGAGGAACAAAGTGTGTGTTACTTAGAATCAGACTATTTAAGTACAAGTAAGTGAGTGAGTGAGTGAGTGAGTGAGTGAGTGAGTGAGTGAGTGAGTGAGTGAGTGAGTGAGTGAGGGAGGGAGGGAGGGAGGGAGGGAGTAACCGGTGGTATGTTATGCTGTCGGCCGTTGAGAATTTGAGTCAAACGCTCCATAGAATATGTTTTTCTTCTTTCTTTTGCAGGCTTCATTTGCGACGATAGGTAAGACATTTATGAAGGTGACTGCGATGACAACAGGAGAAATTGAATACGCTGCAACTGTTATTGACCAACTGAACAATACCGTGCCTGGGACGTCGGGCAAAGGTGGTATACCCCTCGTGCCTTTTGAAGATTCGACTTATTTGTTCTACTACTTGTTTATATTGGTGATGCCGATAGCCCTCGTTAACTTATTGGTAAGCCGCGATTCTCTTAATTGTTCCCGTTTGAAACTTAACAGCAAGGTATCATTTAGAGGCTTGGGTCGCTATGAGTTTAACTCATAGTTGAGAGTTAATATCAATTGAGAAAAATCTGAGACTTCCAAAATTTGCTGATAGGAGAAAAACTGACTGACACACAGACAGACAGACAGACAGATAGATAGATAGCTGAGAAATCCCCTAAAATTCCACNCGCGACAGAAGATCATGATGGGTACTGTGGATCAACAGAGGGACATTCTGCTCGCAGTTGCTGAACGCGTTGGTGTGGAAGTCAATTTACCAACGCGCGTGAAGATGGAGTAGCACAATGAGCAAGACATCTGTTGTAAATTAAGCCATATTCGTATTCTCGATATTGGACTACCTTGCAATGGAGGCTCGTGCTGGGAAGTATCATTAAACAGAGATTAATTTCATTTCCTTACTTTCAGTACTTCCAATTCCGAGAATTCTTGTATGGCCTATCAACGTGACATACAGGGCGATCGTTGCTGACCATGCTGACGTCATTGTTATCATTTTGCCTCATTAGCATACGTATTTGCGAAGAGAAGGCATCACGTTAAATATGAATTGACTCCAAAACATTAAAAAACTTATGAAAAGTAATGATTGATTCAAATGGTAGCCAGGCCTTCAGGTGTAATATTGACGGTGGTATTGGCTTTCAAAATTAAATGTACAGTTTCTGGGTGGCAAGAGCGCTAATGAGCCCATACATGACATCTTTGTAAACTTTTGTGTTTTTAAACCCGCGTTCCATAAAAAGTATATTTCATACATCGGGCTCAAATTCCTTAGAACAGTTAACCGTGGATGCCTTTATAATATTCAGAGTTGATGTTTTTGTAGCTCCAGTACAAACTGAATCGCTTTTGCTGAGGCACGTATTGTAAACTTGAAGAGTGAGGGTGGTTGGGAGAAAGCGTTTGTAAAGTGTATGCGTATCGTTGAAAAGTAATTCATCCCGTTATGTTGCTCAAAAATAAAGCAAAAACCTGAACAAGGTGGAAAGACAACAACAACAACAATAGTTTTTTTGTACCTCAAATGAATAGAGAATAATACACATGGATGATGTAGTTTATAGAAAATAGGTAACAGGGCACCGAGCCTAGCTTTTGAATTCGTTTTGAAAGTATTTATGCATGATGGGCTTTAATTTTCTAAGAATTGTTATTTAAGGTCTTGGTAACAAAGATTCACTGTGCCGGCAAGAAGTCACCTTAAGCTAAGATTTTCCCATAGTTAATAATGACTGTTTCACGACGAAAACTGTTTTTCTCTTGCAAGCTTTGAAAACTAGGTGTTTAAAAACTAGCCGCATACTTCATACACTGGTCTGTTCTCTATTTATATAGAACATTTTTTTTAAGACCGACAATTAAATAGCATAAAGATTGCTGGTCAATATTTTCTATATTTAAGTTTCAAATATCGATTTAAACGATTTATTGTTAATAAAGATGATTTTTTTAAAAATAAAACGTCCCTATACGGAAGGCTGTCATCATAGCTCAAAAGAGGGCATGTGAGGGATTAGACTCAGAAAAAAACATTGATTTTGCTGAGCTCCTTTTCGTCATTTTTGGGATGTTTGGTTGCCGCAAATTATTGTATGAGATGTTTTTGCATAGACAAGGCAATTTTGTTTTAAAAATTATCTGAGCCATCCTTATTTTTGTTGATTCATTGCCAGAATAGTCATCCTGCAGGGTCAGTGAAAATTGCTTTACAGCCAGTGAAAAATCAGGGATTTTTTTTGTTCCGGTGGGTGGTAACCCTGTACTGGCCGAGGGCTTGGCGTTGGTGTGGATAAAAGCTAATAGATATTGTAAGCACATTTCCCTTTCGGATATTTCGTTTGAGAATTTGGGACTACTTTTCCGAGACGTTCCGGCCGGGTAAGCCAGGATAGTATTTCTCATATCTGTGAATTCCCGCCGAAATTTCCGGAAAACGTTTGGTAAATGTTAAATAATAGGTTTTCATTTAGCCAAAGCAATCCGTAAATCACCGGCCCGGCTTAAGCTGTTTAAAGTCAAATGGAAAAGAAATTTTCGGGAATATCCGTTTGGGAACTGTGGACTACTTTCCGACACCTTTAGAGGGACTCCCCTTCTTCTGTTTGGCACAGAACGTTAAAAATGCTAAACATTTGCTTAGTGCCCCAGTTTCCAATCTCACATCAAGGGAGAAAAGTAACCGTAAACTACCGAGAACCAAATTTTAAATAGCCTGCGTGGCAGTCGATTCTTTCCCAAGCGCACGAGAGGTGAAAGAAAGGCTTTACATTTGGCAACCCCTGGGGAGGGCACTTTTTTATGGGGCGCTTATTGGAAGTGGCGCTTTGTAAAGGGTACTTGGTACCCAGGCTTCCTCATCTATTGTGCTTTTTTGGCGGTTTTGACGATTTTGGCAATTTTCAGAGGCGATTAACGAATGGCCGGGAAATATTTCTGGCATACTGTAGAGCTCGAGATCGCTATTAATTCACCAACACAATAGCAGGACGGAAGGTTGGCATGTGGAAAAGATGTCAGAGTTCAATTTGGACGAGTTTGCATATCAACGAAAGCGGTCAGCATTTTCACGTGATAATTCACATCAGCCATGTGCAGCCTCTTCTTCACACTCGACGAAACACAGCTCGGAAAATAATTCATCAGAGAGCTCTTCGAATTCTAGCAATGAGGCAAATAGTGAACTTGACCCAAATAGAGACAGCACAGGTTTAACAGATTCAAATCTTGCCCAAACTCTTGTCGACATGATGGAGATTTTTCCAAGCGAAACTCGGCTTCAACTTGTCGATGCCATAACTTGTTCTAATTCGCTCGATGAAGCAGTCAATTCAGTTTGCGATAAACAGGCTTCAAGTTCTGGTAAGTTGAGGGCTTAATTACTAATAAAACTGTCATGAAAATAATCGCAAAAACTCGTTCTTAAGCTTTAGTACTGTACTACAGATGCCGGATATTGAGTGCAATGCAAATATGATGAAAGCATTGTAATCACTGACCCGGTAAAAATTACTTGCTCAATGAATATGGTGATGGAAAAAAACACTGACCCCCCAGTCCATGGACTACCCAAATGGACTACCCAAAAATGGACTAACCCTAAAATATAATAACGCCAGCATAACATAATAATAATAATAACGCCAGCAACCAGTGTTTTTCTCAAATGCGTTGTAAACATTCAGATTCAGGCTGTTTGCCTCCAAATTAATTGGGAACAATTAAGGGCTATTAATAGATGGAGAGGAACTGAATGTTCTGACTACCTTGTTAATTTGTCATTGTTCCTGGAAAGTTTACCATTCAGCCATTATTTCTTGTCATCTCCTATCATGTCATCGTTTAGCTTGTGCATGTGTAGTGGCTGACTGAATCGCATTGAATAAAACTGAAAATCACNAAATGGTAGAAAAGAAATAAATACGATGACAATGACAATAATAATCATCTGTAACAAAATTCCCTATTGTCATTGGTTCTGCGAGCACCTATTTGTTGCATAATCTGCACATGTTCACGTGGGTGTCCAATTACAGGTATCTAATTGCAAGCTTTTGTTATTGGATACCTATGCCATTTTCCTGTCTATTATGCGCACTGTAACATTTGGCTTACTTCTTAATGTTTCCTAAATTTTTTGACCTTTATGGAAAATGCTACTCCCTTTTTTGATCAAAAGAAGTTCTCAAAAGACTCTTTAATATTTATATTTATTTATATATTGGACCTCCTGTCATGAATACAATAATTTTTTCAGGGAGTAATCATGCTCGTCATTCCAAATCAGCCTTGTGCTGCATGTTCATCAGATTTTGAAATTACTCACGCCCTAACTCCCTGAATTGTGCTCCAATTACGATATTTATGAACTGGTCTTCTTCATGAACGGAAGAAAAGAAGCAAATATAATGGCAATATCATGCTGCAGTAAGGATAATAAAATCTGATAGTGATGGGCATGCAGGCTTGTGAAAACTTTATCTTTTTAAAGAAGCTGAACCCTGTCAATCTCTTTCACGATGTGCTAAGACTTTGTTGGTTAAATGAAATTTATAAATTTCAGATCAGAGCAGCCATTTAGCTATTAGCTTCTATATGCTTTTTATTTGTTCTGGATGGGATTTTACCAGTTACAGTGGTCTTGTATTCCTAATTACTGTATTTTTTATGTTTTGTAAACTTAAGGTAAGTAAACGTGTGTGTGTTGTTAACAGCTGTGAAAAATTATCAGTGAGTAATATATTGACTGAATTTTATTTAAGTTGATTGCAGAGACAAGAATTTTGAATGTTCAGGAAAGAAGAGAAAGAGGCATCGTTTTCTTGAAGATGATGAAGATATTGACAAAGGAACAAAGAGGTCCCGCCAACTTGATAACGATGTTTTAGACCACAATAAGTACAGGAATAACTCAGCACAAAGTTCACAACCAGTGGATGCATCCAATGAAGATGGTACTGGTGAGAAATCCTCAGATCAAGGTGAATAAAAATTTAATGGTGTTTTTTTTTATAAAATTTTATTTTTAAAAAAGTTAAGATTAAGATTTGATGTACTGATTTTGCAGTTTTAACAGTGCAGTGTGAATGTCATGTACAATGTAAACTGACCACATTTTGATGTTCATGCTGCCAGCATGTGTATAATTATTTATACTGCAATCATGATGTACTCAAGCACTTCAGATTTAGTGCTGCATAGGACGGCACAAGAGCAAAAGTATTAAAGAATGTTGCCTTCAAAGAAAGCTCTGCATTCATTTTTAACTGAACTTCTTTATAAGAAAACTCACCTCCAGGTGGTCAAACTAGACAGGCTAAATTAGCCTTGCTGGTCAATCTGCCCAGTTGCCACCCCTTATGAACCCCTGAATAAGCTCCACTCCCAAATAAGGGTTACAACTTAAACACTAAAAATTTAAAGAGTGTCACAGTGCTCTTGTGAGTAAATACAGTATACTAATTATGCGATGTTTTCTGCATATGGGTTAAACTGACCTACATGTACCATGATGGCTATAGTGGGCATGTCAGTATGTTATTATTATATTATATTATGTTCATTTTGTTCCTTTCAGACAAGGTTGAAGTTATTTGTGTGTCAGATGATGAAACTGGTGACAGTGATGTTGTGGTAACCGTTATCGGTAAGTATATCAAACTCAGAGTACAGTATAATTTTCTCTTTTAAGAAACATTTGCATAAATTATTATAATAATTATTGTTCTTTCTACAAATAGACCTCAGCGGGAGAACAGGGCTGCAAATAATTTTTTCTCTTGGTAGGACTAATGTCCAACTAAGACACCATCTTGGTCAGACATATCAAATTGTGGTTGGACATCACCAAAAAAAGTAAGATTTACTCAAGGTAGATTTTTATTTCCTCCTTACCGTAAAATGATCTACGGTCCAGACATCATGTCCGACCACAGTTGGGATTTCGTCAGACGTGAGCGAATTTTGGTCGGCCAATGACAAACTGTTATTTGCAGCCCTGGAGAACCAATCAGATTTGTGTATTTCCAATGGAACATGCTGAGTGTATACTTACTTTAGGTTGTTGTTTGCAGATGAGCTAGTATCCCAAACTTTCCTCGTTCTCAAGGATTCCAGGATAACTTTAGCACTAAGACGTGCAGGCTACTGTGGCTTAACTGCACAAATTCACGTAATACTATGCATTCTTGCATAAATGCATGCATGCATTCATTCACAAATCTATTAATCTTCAAGATGTAATTGATTTTTACTGTTCATTTACCAAATGAATACTATTCCACCAGCAGGTATATGTTGCAGTTTGCAGGTCGAAGCGACTTGTTTATTTGAGTTGAACTCAAATAAACCCCAGTATAAAGGCTAACCGCAAGCAACCTAAGCTAATTTAGGCTAACCGGAGTGCTATTCAGGCTAACCGAAGTGCTAAGTAGATTCACTCAGACTTGAAAGTCAATTTTTCAACCTGCAACCTGTAACTTGCAAAACATACCTGCCCCTATTCCACATTCATGTCTTTTCAGATTGCACAGATAATAATTATTACATTGCTGATGAGAGTGATGAGGAGGACTTCAATGACGAGGAGATGGTTACTATTTTGTCGTTTTTCAATGACTGTTCTCTTCAAGAATTGACATCTGTTCCTACCTTGTCAGCCAAAAAAGCTGAGAAAATTATCAAGATGAGACCTTTTGACTCCTGGAATGATCTTGTAAGGATGTTTCTGTTAACAAACCCGTACAGTCTGTATTACATTGTGTAGGTTGCATATAAATGTAGTTGTCAAAGAAAGAGCAGTGAGAAACAAGGGAGTTCTCTTTAAAGCCAGGGTGTTTACAATGTAGGCTATGCATGAGAGAATTGAACAAGCAGACCAATTTGCCAAGGCTGAAATGCAGATGCAGTACAAAAGCAGAATGAGTATTTGACAGTATTTGCTTTTTACAGCAATGAAAATTTTTGAATTCATTACTAGTATATACAAGATTGATTTTTGTTTGTTAAGCTGAGCTGTACATACTTTTTTGTTTGTTTTTTTTCACTGTGATTCTAAATGTCTTTGTGTGTGAATTACATGCAATGTGCTCTCATTTGTTTTGTTATTTTTTTGGTTTTTTCGTACTATTGATCCCAGACATCTGTTGAAATGGCTTTTTTGAGGCCTTTTCACACACCATTGGTTTCAGCTATGGATTCCAAAAAAGTGTTCACCTATTGACAAACATCTCTTGGCGTGGATGGCCACAGTTTTTAGCACAGCTGTTGCAAATTCCTCAAATGTGGCAAGTTCAAGGCAAATCTTATCCATGCCATGAATTTTGCATCTGTCTGAAAACTCTCCTCTGTAACATAATTATCTTGAATTGTCTCCTGCTAGAAAGTGCAAAACTCAAAACAAACTGTGGAGCAACTTCCCCATCGGCAGGAGATTCACTCATCACACTGTCATGAAATTCGTCATCACAAGACGATGCCTGCAATTGCCTGAAAAACAAGCCATTTCAACAGATGTCTGAGATCAATAGTAAATACATGTACATGTACATGTACATCATTCCTTTTACTACAAAAGTTTTGTTCATCTGATCTTATTTCATAATACATGTAAAGATGTTAAAGATTTCTTTTCCTTGACATTTTGTTATTTATTTTGAACACGTTTACATTACAGGTTTCTAAGCTAAACTCTGCCAAGTCTTTGTCATCCCAGGTAATTTTGTATGATTTCTTTCANTAAAAAGATTACAAGTACTAAATAGCTATCAATTTTTCTGCAGGGTCTTGGGAAAACAGTTCAAGCCCTTGCTTTTCTTGCTCACTTGTGTGAAACTGGAGAAGAAGGCCCTCATCTGATTATTGTCCCTTCATCGACACTAGGTCAGAATTTTGAAAATTCTTTTGGTTTCCTTTTGATTTTTTGTTTTTCTCTCCCAGTTGGTAACTGCAAGGAATGGTAACTAAAATGTATTGCCATGAATTCTCATGTTGACAGTGTGCAGGGCTCAAAAAAAAGTGCTGTCCAGTCGTCAGAGACAAGAAGGTTTTCCTGCTGGGCAATTAACTTTCCATTCTCACTTGACCGCTGGGCAAGAGATCAGGCAAGCTGCCTGCTAACTAAAGCATTGAAAGAGCAAACTCAAGACTTGCCCAGGACAAGCAAAATTTGAGAGTGTTTTTCGAGCCCTGAGTGGGAATAAAATTTTATGCACTTATTTCTAGGACAGAGTGGTAATCAGAGGTCTCAGAGGTCTTATCGTAGCTTCTTTACGGTACATCTGTACGTCATTGTTTTAATACTGTTGGAATAATTGATTGTTGTGATGGTAATGAATTTAATATTTAGATTTTACTGAAAGTTATCTTTCAGAGTTAATTTTGCTTGTCGATAAATTGCAGACAACTGGTGTAGGGAAACCAAGAAATGGTGTCCATCAATAGAATTCTTTTTATACTATGGTAAGTCCTGTCAAATTAGATTTTAATTCTCATAGTGAATTGTAATGTGCGGCTCTGAATCTCTTCTTTGTAATTCTTTTGGTCTTTTCAAAAAGTTGTATCTTAACAAGCTGGCTGATCATTGATGAATACTATAGACAGTTGAGGCTACCAAATTCATTTTCTAGTTATTAGCCCCAAAGCTGAAATTAAGGGCATTTTGACAGATAACACTGCTGTTGTGGTAATACATGGCTTGAAAAAAAGGCTGTCCGGTCATCCAGGACAAGTAGGTTCTCCCTCTGGGCAAATGCCTCTTCATTCTCGCTTGCCTGATGGGCAAGAGATCAAGCAAGTCATCTGTCAACTAAATCATTAAAAGAACCAACTAAGACTTGCCCAGGCAAGCAATAATTATTTGAGAGATGCTCTTCCTAAGGGCAAGCTTTAATTCAAGTTTTTTTTCGAGCCCTGGGTAAACCCTCAATGTTATTAGCTTATGGCAAGAAGATGAGTATACATCTACAGTGTGGCATATCTGCCAATGGTTGGTCATGAGCATTTGCTTGATACCACTATTTTAATATTAACTGGTATACCACACTGTACTGTACCCTACCCTACCCTACCCTACCCTACCCTACCCTACCCTACCCTACTGCACCGCACCGCACTGCACCGTACCGTACAATAATGCTCCGAGCGGAATGAAACCAGGACTTCTTAATACAAAATTAGAGTATTTAGCCTAGTTATAACTTATTTGAACTGTTGATCCCTAAAGCGTATGTATTATAGTCACTTTCGTCAGTAAGAAGTACAGTTAATTCCCATCGTGTTTTTGACAGAGAAAATTGAATCTCCCTTCCCCTTTCCCTCTCCTATTACACCTTGCTATGCAGGCTAATTCTTCAACAAATTCTTCCGCAACTTAACTAGGATAGATGCAAGATGTCTGTCTTGCTAAAGATCTTGTCATGATTTAAATGTTTTTTTTGTGTGTGTGTATGTTGAATTTAAAACTGGACAGGGAGTCAAGAGGAAAGACGTCACCTGCAGGATGAGGTGCTTGATAGAGAAGTGAAACCTGAGATTATTATTACCACGTGAGTGCATTTAAAATCGTGTTACTAATAATGTTTCATAGTCACAGGCAGGATGACAGATGTAGTATATATGTAGTAAAGTCTATAGATGGATTTGTTGTTAGTCAGGATTAGTGAACCAGGTGAATTCAAGAGAAGATGGAGGATGAGAGAGTCATCCTCCATAGAGGCCTTAAACCCAAAGTAAGATATTTCTCTGTTAAGTTACTTTTAGATCACTCACGCCTGGTTTCGGAAATCCCAGGAGGGTCTAGAAATAGCCAATCCTTTGATGCAGAGTTTTCTAACGAGGACAGTCCAAGCAGCTTTACACACAGTTTTATCATCCATGACAACATCCACATACCTCACATGGTAGCAATATCCACAGAAGAACTGGGTACCATGTCTAAAAATAGCTTTAGAGGCCGCATTATCTTGGGAATAAGGCCTACATATGGGGGATTAACTCGCTTACTCCTCATCCTCTCTTGGTAAACTCCCATGCAAAAAGCAGCTAGCAAATTAGAAATAATTTACTGTAGGGGAAACACTGCTGACTACCAGCACATTCTAACAGAGCTGACATTAACATTATGTCATTTTATTGTGAGCTGAATTGATTGATGGTATTCACTGGTAGTAGCACCCCTGTCAAAACGGGTTGTGCCTTATTGTCAATTTAGGAATTAAGGTAGCTAAACTCTTAATGAATAGGTTTGTCTTCAGAGTATACTGTGCTTGTGTGATACATATGGGTTATTGACCAAGCGTGAGGTCAAGATGACTGGATATTTGTCAAGTTATTTTTATTTATTTATTTTCATTATTTTTATTAATTTTTATTTATTTATTTATCTTATTTTTGCATGTTTATAGACAGAGACAGAGTCAAGGTCCATAAACATGCATCTTGACTGAATATCCAACCATCTTGACTGAACAAGCGTGGTCAATATAGGATTTATTACATGGAAAAAGAGCAGTGTTTCTTTCGGGATAAAACGGGTAATCCCATCGCTTGGGTAACCAATCGCAGCCTAGGATTCAGTTTATCTTTCCTGCTCATGGAGTTAGCCATGTAATTTTATTATGGTTGAGAGAACTATTGGCTTTTTCGAGTGGGAGTGTTGCCCTACTTGGGTTGAGTTTAGGGAATCGTCGAACTGAAGTGCTGCTGTGAACTCGCTTATTCCTGTGCTGTACAAAGTTATGAAAACTGAGCATCCTTCCCTATCTGATTGTAATTTTGCTACTTTTGTCCTAAGCTACGCTGTTGCCACTGCAAGTGATGACCGTGCATTCTTGCGAAAACTTAAGTGTCACTATGTGGTACTAGACGAGGGGCACATGTTAAAGAACATGCAGTCACAGAGATACCAGGGACTTATGAAGGTCAAGGTAGGTGTACTGTGTATCTCGCTATTATAATCCAACTACAGCACCCACAATGGAGTACAAATAACGCGGGAAACGAGAACAATATCACACTATACTCGGTATTTGTGCATGCATGTATAGTGAATAACAATTGTGACTATTAGAGATTTCCTCTACTGTTAAATCCACAACAAGAAATCTTTTTCATCTGTTTCACCAGCTTTTACATATCTTAATTTTTCCTGTTTTGTGTTTTCCAGGCCCGTCGACGACTTCTTCTCACAGGGACCCCGCTACAGAACAACTTATTGGAACTGATGTCTCTCCTAAGCTTTGTGATGCCTTGCATGTTTGGTGAAAGTGTACAAGGGATCAAACTACTCTTTTCCAACAGCAGAATGGTACAAATATCTTACTGTCTTGTTTTTCAGTCTCTCAACGTGATAAGCAGACGTTCTCTTGCACAGTCATTCTTCTTTCATGTCGCCGAGCAGTCTGAAATTTGACACGACGTAGCCCCACATTAATCGGGGGTGACGCCTCTGATTGGTTGTTTTGAATGTTGCCGTGCAAGAAACGCCAACCAACCTAGAGTTACATGTACATCATCAACATGGAATTTTTCGGGTCGCATCTCGGACGCCCCTCTAATGGAAGAATGGAGCGCGCGCAAAGGGATACCGGTGGCCCATCAACCCAGAGCTTATCTCCGGTTTCTGTAGCATACAGCGACTAGGAATCATTCTACTCTCTCCTGGATGCGATGCTGGTTCATTTAGGGTTACCCTTCAGCATTAAATTTGCCTGTACCCTATCATACACCTGGGTGGAGAGAGGTATTGTGAGAGTAAAATGTCATGCCCAAGAACACAACACAATGTCCCCGGCCAGGGCTCGAACCCAGACCACTCGATTCGGAGTGCAGCGTCCTAACTATTACATGTAGTTCACCATGCCTCCCACGTTTCATGTCAACCCCTAGATATAGCTAAACAAATTTTACATGTGATTGTGAGGAAAACCAGTACTTGAATATTGCTGAAGTGTCCTTGAAACTTAGATCATTCAATAGTCCTGAACAATGACCTTGTGTTCCTCAAACCTAGATTTGTCAGTATTGATTGATTCCAATTAGCGAGTATTTTCAACGAATTGAAAACAAACCGGACTTAGCATTCCACTGACAGCACTGAGCTGTTTATCTACTTGAAGCTGATTAAAAAGCCTCGGTGAATTTGAAAACGCAGCTTTATTTCTATGGTTAGGCCTACTGTCCACACTAATCTGTCACGAAAACGGAGCTTTACGAAAACGCTCTTCAAACCGGAGGAATTTGAAAATGCTGGCTTTGCGTTTGTGAATGAAAAACATTTTGAAAACAGAGCTTTTCTTAAACGTTGACATCATAATAATCGCGATTTTCTGCGGCTAAGAATTTTTACGCTTCAAGGATGTAACCAGATTAATTTTACTGCATTTCACTGTTTTGTATTCGTAGAATGGTGAACCAGGAAGTAACTATGAGAAGGCCACAGTCGCTCAAGCCAAGAGGATCATGAAACCTTTTGTACTACGAAGACTCAAGAAAGATGTGAGCATTCATTACTAAAAAAAACACCTAGGATAGGCTCAGACTACTGCATGGGTCAGCTAATATGATCCGAAATGGAATGCGAATTTGCTTGTTTTCTGGTCACAGTTTAAAACGCCTAACTTCTGACCTGAACCAGGGCGCTTTCCATTCAAGCAAAACTTCTTGGACTTTCGAAATGCTGGCAAATGATACGAAAACTTCCTGGGAAACTTTCCGGAAAATCTGAAACTTGTAGATATCCGGAATGCATACCAATCATCCGAAAATTCCATGCAGAAATCACTGAAAACGGAAATTCTCGTAAGTAAATTTTCGAAAACTTGTAAATACCTCTCGAGGTTGTCCTCCTTTCTGAAAATTCTGGAAAAGGCTGTTCCATTCGCCACTGGAAATTTCTGGAAATTCAAACCGGAATTTTTGGTCTCATGGAGAGCGCCCCCAGTTTCGCCGTACCAGATTTAAGCTTATCACTGACTGATCAGTCACTGTACTACACGTATTCTCAAGAAAGGCATTCTGTAACCAGTATCGATTCACTGAATAGAAATAACTTCTTGATGACTGTTTTGGTGAATCGTTTTATTCTTCAGGTTCTACAGCAGCTTCCTGCAAAACATGATCATGTAATCAAGGTCGACCTGATTGAGGACCAGCGTCAGTTGTACGATGACAGCTTTGTAAACTGTTCAAAACAATTCAAGCAATCGGGTAAGATGGCAGATACCATTTTTAGAGGAGCTCAAGTACGGTATTTTGAGTTATTTTGGCCACGTACAAAATTACGTTTAAATTGAACGAAACCTGAAAATAGTAGTTTATTGAGATAGAAAAACACCAAAAAGACAGTAATCGTGAGACAAATAGTGTAAACAGAACTGAAAACCCGATAAAATTTTCCATCATTCTGGTTGGAGGCTGACCAATTGGCTATTTCAAAGACGTGGAGGAGTTCACTTTGGGACCACCGAACACAAATCCGCCCAGTGGCAGGGTGGGGGATTTGAATCCAGGGCCTCCGGATTACAAGTCCAGCGCCCCAACCGCTAAGCCATGCCGCCTCCTTAACTGGATACATGCAGTTCATATAATTTAGCAAATTAGAGGTCTATTGACTGAGGTTACGCTTAAATCATCAAAGAGTTGCTTAGCAACACGACATTGCCTTTGACTGACCCGACAACGTTCCAAATATTCGTGAATTCTCGCGTTAGTTGTCGACTGGATAATCAGAATCAGAAACTTCTCGGGTGCTTCTAGTTCTACGAGGATTTTCAGGGAAAATCCAAGCGTTTCCAAAAGTTTTCCAGTCATGGTACATGGTAGTTATTGAAAACAGATTTCTGTTCAAATGCTCGTTGAGCCATTGCATGCGAAGGAATGTCCGTCACACTATCTGGCTTTTAAGTGTAACTCTCGCTCTCTCTTTCTCAGATGCAGGTTCGCAGTACAGTAATATTTTGATGCTGCTTCGCAAGGCCGCCAATCATCCTTTATTGCTTCGCAGCCACTACAAAGACGACGTTTTACTTAAGATGGCCAAGAAGTATTGCAAGGTATTGTTACAAGTGTTTATCAGATGAAGATCCAGTAAACGATATCTTTCACATTCGGCTGAGGATAGCTTTGACATCGCTACACAAGCTGAATAGATCACTTTGATAAATAGCCTCGTGCGCACGCGCTCTCCAGGGTCGTCACGCAATCTGTACCGGTGCTCGGGTAGAAATGCGTGACGAACGCGTGACCAGGCCAAAGAGCGTGCGCGTAGTACACTATCTAATGAACTTTTTAATGCTGTTCAACAGGATCCTGCTCACCGTGACTCCGAGCCAGATCTGGTGTTTGAGGATATGACAGTCATGTCGGACTTTGAACTCCATTGTCTCTGTCGTGAAGAACAGGTAAGTCGATTTCCAACTTACTCCCTTTCATACTTGGTTAAATAAAATACTCCACGATGTTGTGTACCTTGTAGATAGATTCATATACAAGGCATTTTAAATGCTTCATTACGTGTCTAACATACATCAGTAAGAACATGTTTGTTCGAGAGCGATTTCACGAGTTAGCCTTATTTTTTAAAAACAGTGTTACGATATTTAGAGAGGAAGCCATATCAGCATTACGTGGTTTTCATGCGGCTCCTCTATCCTGGTCGAATTGGAATTTGAAAGGTTGGTTTTTGTGGAAGGAGGAACCCGGAGAAAGGCGACAACCAACAACAAACTCAACCCACATATGGAGCCGGGCCACATTGGTGGGAGACGAGCGCTCTCACCACTGCGCCATCCCTGCTCCCCAAGCTCATCGTTCGTGACCAGTCTCAGTCTTTCTCTAATCTTAACCCTTCCTTGTTGCTTTTTGCCCAATGTTTACCTTTTCTACCTCGTTAAGCAAGAACTACTTTTTGCTTTAAATCAGTAGAGGTACCGTTTTGTGCTGTCAAAAATATGACATAGCCCCATCTTGAAGCATCTCAAGTCATCGGCATTTTTTTTTTTTTAAACCATGTTTCAGAGGCTGGCGGATCATTGTCTTAGTAAAGAGATCTTGTTGAAATCGGGCAAATTTATCTATTTGGACTCTCTGCTTCCGAGCTTGAAAGAGAAGGTTGGTATTTGTATCATACCATGTATACAGACGTGAAAAATATTGGTCATATGGTTACTATAGCGAGTAAATATGCTAGAATTATCTTTTCATTTTGAGAGAAATTGGAACCTTATACGAAAGCAAATGGAAAATAACAGTTGCATGGCAAACGAAGTAGTCTTGATAAAGACAACTGGCCTCTTACGGTTATACTACGATCAAATATTGTAAGAATTCTCATGTCGTTATTTACAATGAATTGGGAAAAGCCAGCAACTTTGAGGTACATCTCCGCTGACAGAGTTAAACCCTCTCGATTTCCTCTCAAGACATTTAAGGTAGATTAAGTACTGCTTGCATCCTTTTTGTAGTACCTGCCTTACAAAATATATATTATTGAACGTTGTGTACCTGTAAATTAAGCACAAATACAATTTGCACCATCAATCTTGTACATAACTTACATGGCCTTATTCCGCGTTTTTTATGTTTGCTTTGTTTTCATTTTTATTTTTTATCCTGCTAGAACTGTCGCGTACTGTTGTTCAGCCAGTTTACAATGGTAATGGATATTATAGAGGTCTATCTGTCAGACAGACGCCATCGTTACTTGAGACTGGACGGTCAGACGTCGGTGGTGGACAGGTAGGTCCACCTAACACATTTGATGATCCTATAGCATGAAGCATTTTAGAAGCAATTTTATCAACAGAGTAGTAATTTACACAAAACTTGAAATTTAGAACTTCATAGCATACATGTACTGCTGGCTTATTACCTTCTGTGGCACCTTATAATCCAGTTAGTAAGTCCTGCGTACAATTTCAAAGGGGCTTGTAAAGAGGGACCTTGTATCCTGGGGTGGCTCATAACCTTCGGAAAGAGACCCGTTCTGTGTACCAGCTAATGTGCTTGCTCCTTCTGTATGGAGGTGGGGATTAAAACAAAGAGGAGAGCAAAATTGACGCACCTAGTAGTCTGAATCCGATTTTTCCGTTGCCTTCACATTCTAACAATTGATGCGCATTGTAATATTAAGGCACTGTTTAAAGTGATACCCTTTTCCTTGAGGTTAAGCATATGTACTTATGTACTTTCCTGACGTAAAACTCTAAACCCGCGTATTTTTGTTTTCCAATTTGCAGACAAAGTCTTATTGACAAGTTTAATGGCGATCCTGATATCTTCGTGTTTCTTCTTTCCACCAAAGCAGGTGTGTAATTGGAGTGCGTTTGCTCATTTGTCGGTTAAGGGTACGCAGGGTTGTGCTCCGACCACACATAAGCACCTCAATTATGACCCCCAGTGAGAGGGCTCCTAATATAAGGGTGCACTAAGACGTGATGCGGTCCCTTAATTACGAAATGAACAAGAAGTAGATCTTTTTAGAACAAATATTTACAAGCGTAAACAAAAGTTTCGTTCAAAAAAGCTTCAGACTCTTAAGACAAGGACTGAACTGAAATGGAAATTCATCTGGGCATCTTATGGGCCAATCTATTTAAGGAAAGCTGAGTTACATCTAGCTATCACGATTACAACCAACGTCCAACTGTAAATGTACAACGTCACTGGAGCGCTGTTGATTTACACATGAGTCCCAGTGTTGTTTCAGGCCTCTTAAAACGCTCTTTCAAACTTAACCGAGTGTTCTTGCGTCATTTCCAGGAGGCCTGGGCATCAATCTAACCTCAGCCAATGTTGTCATCTTGCATGACGTGGATTTTAACCCGTACAACGACAAACAAGCGGAGGACCGCTGCCACAGAGTGGGCCAAACAAGGTACGCATGCATAATCAAGTACTAGGATACACTACGCTGGAGAAGTTTGAAAACGTAGCTAAGTTTATTTCCACGGTTAGGCCTACTGTCCACGCTAATCCGTCACTAAAACGGAGCTTTTCGAAAACGCTCTTCAAGCGGGGGGAGTTTGAAAATGCCGGCTTTGCGTTTTAATGAGGACGGAAAACATTTCAAAAAATGAGCTTTTCGAAAACGACGAAGTCACGATAATCATGTGATTTCTCTGCCCGATTTTTCCTCAAACACAAATCCAAGGTGGCCGGTTATTGTTACGTTTTGAAATGTCTCCAGCGTAGTGTGGACAGAAAACCTTTGATGCGTTTTCAGAGTGAAAACGCCGCTTTCAAATTTCTCTGGTGTAGTGGGAACAGTGACTAAATTCCATGTGTATTTTTGTTAAATTTTAATAACTACCTCAAGCCCTTAGGAGAGCGGGCGGGGGGGGGGGGGGGGGGGCCAATAAACGGGCCTTGGTAAGTTTTTCTAATTATTGATGTGTTTCTTTGACGTTCTTTGCGTGCGACCCCATATTGGATTTGGTATGACTAAATTTCAAAACCCAAAGAGGGCTCGGTATGACTTTAATAACTACATGTGTAAAATTAAAAGTATATAAAGATGAAATTTTTCCTCCTCCGCCTCCCCTTAACATTAAGAAGTAACTCGTTATTCACTGTATGAGGTGTCAAATTCCATAGTATCATTTTGCGTTTGGTTAATTAAGAGGGTAAAAAGAGCGGCAAGGCGTCCGTGACTCGCTCATATCAGAACTTGAACAATGAAACCCTTTTATATCCAAGCTCAAAATATTATTTCTCGCTGCTTATTTTCGTAAATTTTATTTGCGTTGGTTTTAAGAATTTTGAATTTTCTGTATGGAGAGACAATAAACCGTAATTTTTGATCAGTTTTATTATTTTTCATCAATCACTCGCTTGAAAGCGTAGTCGATTCGTTAGGGAAAAATCACGCTAATCGCAAGGGTAGAACCTCGATTGCTGACAATTGTCTTGAACGTTTTTTTTTGCGCCTTGTAGCTGATCTTTTAGTTGCTCAACTTGGTTTACCCAACTGGTTGAACTGACTTGGAATTTTAAGTATTTTATGCGGTAATTTATTCGGGAACATTTCACCGACAGAGTCGTAACTGTATATCGCCTGATCGCTAAGGACACGATAGAGGAAGGCGTGCTTCAATGTGCACAGAATAAACTCCGACTAGAGCGAGACATGGCCGCCTCAGACGAAGGTGAGTTACAAAGGAGTTGTTATTTGTGCTTGTCTGTCGTTGCATTCCCCCCTCCCCCTTCCCCCGCCGCCCCCCTCCTTGTCCTCTACTACCATTGTTAAATACGAGGTCGTTGTATTGCAATGAGAATATCGGGCTGTCGTAGAAGTCACAGTACACGTCACTATGGACCACCACCCCACAAACCTATTGTTTTCATCGTTTTCCACGTTCTTTTGTCTTTTTGTTCTCTATTGTTTTACGTCAGCTGTGTCTTCTACACCTAGTAAGAGCCGAATATCGTACGTGGACAATTTGCACTTTTGAAGATCTGATCACTTCAGCATTTTATGACTGGTCCAAAGGGAAGCCGAGACCCGGATGTTGAGGGTCGAGGGGAAACAAAACTCACTGTTTCCTGTGGTGCCAGTCAATAAGTGTTTTGTTTTACCTCCCAACTCAAAAAGAGAACAGACTCCGAAAAAATTATTTGCTTGACGCCGTCTGGCACACAAATTTGCCACGGTTTTAAGTTGCACGACCTGATCTCGTGCGGGTCGAGAGTTGTTGTTTCCCGAGGGAGTTAGTGAGGTTTGACACCTGACATGTTCTCCGGCTATCGGAAAGCGTATTTGAGTTGGGAGGTATAACAGTAATTGTCGTTAACCCGTATAGGGTCTTACACGATGTATTTGTTTGTAATTTAGTTTTTGTTATGTGTGTGTGTGGATTTTCTTTCGTTTACTGACATGGAAACTAGAAGCTGTGAACTGAATATATCTCAATTCTCTGCTCGTGTTCTTCTGCAGATGATGTAACAGCACCAAAAGATGTATCAGAACTTCTTAGCGAGGTGTTTAATTCTTCATGACCCATTCTCTAACGAAACGTTAGTATTAGATGATATTTTGAATTGAAGAGAAATTCATTAGATTTCTAGCTGAAGTTGAATGTATACATAAAATGTAAATTTATGGTAGGATATAGAAAATGGAACAATTTTGAAAACTCTAACGTAAAGAAATGTAGTACATATAGAAATACGTTAAGATGCTTATTAATATGATAAGAGCGCACTGAACCCTATACCTCGTGTCACTGAAGTTCATTTCCTTAAAGTTGAAATACGATCTTTGTATCCATTCTTGCAAAGTCCTTCGATCTAATTTCAGAATGTTTTAAGGGAGCTATGTCACAAAGGGCTAAGCTTGAAAAAAATTCAAATACTTTGTCTCTCTTAAGCCTTAGTCTTTTACGGTCATAACCCCCCGTGTTTAAGTTCAGTTCATTGTTGTTTCGTTGACGTTTTTCTCTCTTGTAGAAACCTTTAATTTTGGGGCTTCCCTCAGTTGGAGAGTTACTTTAAACATTTGAAAAATGTTTTTGTCTGGAATTGGTCATTTCCGACTTACCTTGTGTCTCTGCTTTAGAACGAGTCCTGGTGCAAAACCTTTTATATGAAAATGAGTTTGATTAGCATTAAAAAAACCTGTAGGGGAAACACATTTCCAAATGAATATTTTTGCATTAAGACTCGTTTTGACACATAACAAAATGCAACTCGGAAATGGCCTTTTGCTTTGCGCGTTCGCGACATTCCCTCGTCCATCTCCTCGCAGCATTGTTGGCACTGCTATGCCAAAAATTTTAAACAGCGACAAAGTTATTGTAGTAACGGTATTTTGGATTTTGCGAAACAAAGTTGACAATCTCAGGCTATGGTATTCAACTTCGTTTCTCGTGACACCTTTTCGAGCGATTTGTTTTTTTAAGACCAATTGCGTTAGGTAAAACAGTCAAAGGCGTTCAAAAAATTCAATAATTTACTACAACACAAGCGGATTGACACTGAATTCGTGTTAATACGTAGTATGCTTTGTCTATGTATTACATGAAGTCACTAGTGATAAATTGTATAAAGACAACTCTATATTTTGTTCTCGAAATAAACTGGTTTTTTTATGAATTCTGTTGTGTAAACTTATTCAATCTCACATTTGTTCAAATCGTGCTCTTAAATTCCTAACGTTGTCCTTGGTACATGAAGCAAAGGTGCTTTCAGTCTTATCTTTTTTACTTGCTTTGCTTGATCTGTTTTTCCTTGGTCTGTGGGTTCTTGGAGCCTTTGCTCTTGCTTTAGTTAGGTGGACAAGCTGTGGTGAGTTCAACCCTAAACAAAATGCGAATTATCTCAGTGTTTTGGTCCTAGGAGCAACCAGATATCTAATCACCTAAATTAGCGCGTGTTCGTTTACCACCAGTTTCTGTTGCATGGAGCGACTAGCAGTATTGACATCCGCAGAGGTAATTTGCTGTATAGTCCTGCTTCATTCACTATAGACGAATTGGGTTAACGACTTTACATCCTTGTTGCCACTCAATTCAGACCATGTGATGATTCATTTGGGAGGTTACAACTGTTCTCTTTGTACACACTTCCATGCAATCGGTTGCGTGTAGCAAATTACACAATTGTAACCTCCCAAATGAATCATTCCGTGATCTGAAGTGGGAGGATGACATCAAGGATGTAAACACGTTATCCGAATACGTCTATTTTGCTTCCCTCCACTTTCGTCTCCTGACGTCTAGATAACGTTTTTTTTATTACTATTTGACTATATATCGGTCCGCGCACGGTTGTAAGTCTTAGTGGAGGTTAAGACCCAGACACCAGTTCCCAGTTGATTCCGTTATCGAGAAATCTTAATTATTGCGGTGGAAACCCCAAGGCTGGTTGTTGGTTCTAGGTTGAATCTAGATAAAAACCAGTAAACAAACATCCACTCCAATGGACTCAATGTACGGAGGAATATAAAAGGGTAGGGAACACTGGTATATCAGTGACGTGGTTGTGCGAAGGCCTTTATGGCTTTTTTTAGGGTAGAAACTTAGCTAAATTTTCTGGTGGACCTTTTTTGATCAGAACAATTTCTGCAGGACTTTTATATGGTCAGTAAAAGCAGCGTACGTTAGGTATGTAAAGGGGGTACCATTTTCTATGGAAGTTATATAAAAGAGTCACCAGTTCTGTCAGAAACAGTATATAGATGGCAAGGTTTCGAACCTCGGAGCAGAGCCTCCCCGTATATGACATTTTTGAGTCCCCCCACCCCCGGGACATATACATACTTTACCTAGACTACTAAAAGACGAGGCATTTTCTTCACGGTTGTCTTCCTCCCTTATCCAATAACTTTCTCCTGTCTCATTTGAAGTCAACGAACATGACGATCTTGCTGTCGATGGTGCAGAGCTCTGGCAACTAAAGAAACAAAAAAACCCACTTATTTAATCGCAAACCCTAGCTCTGCTAAATGAATACCGTTCATCCCTTGAGTTCTGAAACTAGACAGTGTATCTTAGCGGCTGCCTGATAAATTTCCTTTTTTTTTTTCATCCAAGTGTCTACTTGGCAGTGAATAAATACGATACGAGACTGCAATTTGAATTATAAAAAAGAGAGCATAATCGTTTGTCTCCCGATGTGGAATTTTCTCAGTGGATAAGACGGGAGGTGCACTAAAAATTCTAGGACACGAAGCATGTGAACGGCATTATCGACTAGCTCTTGGTATTGAATGTGGTGCACTCGCGGCTCCAGCACAACACGGAGTTACTCACTTTTTTTTTCACATTAAGATATTATCACTGTTTTTGCAACGCCTTACCATCATTTATCTGATATTCTTCATTGTTCAGTTCAAATATATTTTTTTTATTTAAGGTAATAGATTACGCGTGTAATTTCAGCCTCTTTTCTTCTTTACTTTCTGGTATATATTATATTTTGTACGTGTGTCCGTGTGTACGTGTGTGTGTCCGGCCAAAATTTGACTAACTGGCAACCCGGCATTTTTAACCTAGTGGTTATTTCGGGTTGCCAGAACCCTAATTCTTAGCAATATTTTATATATTTCTGTATTAATGAAAAAAGGGTAATAAAGAGGATGTTGTTGTTGTTGTTGTTGTTGTTGTAACTTGGTTTTTACAAGTCAAGTGTCTGTCTTTGCTAGTTAGCTGCTGATGATCACTCTTATTCATTTATTTCTATTTATTTAATCTTTATTTAAACACGATGTAAGCTGGCTCAAAACAGTTTTCTGTTTTTTTGAGACATTTAGAACTAGGTGCGATTTTTCAGGTTTGGAACTGTACTGTTTTGCATAGCCGTGCTATTTTTTCAAGGTAACTTTCCAGTGTACCTTTCATTGTGTTTAAGTCATAAATTAAGGGTGCACTGTTCTGTTGCATAGCAACAAACTTGACCCTCTTTTTACCATCAATTGCATCTATCTTAAAAACTAAGCCGGTGACCTCATATTTTTTTATAAAAATCTTTTTTATTACACACAGAAGAAGAAACAGGGTTTACAATTTCGCACATACATTCCGCTTTTGCTGTTGAATATTTTTTGCATTAAAAAAGTAAGGTCATCGGATCAGTTTTTGATATTAGTTCCGTGGATAAGGAATTTTACAAGCGTGTTCTACGCGTAAATTAAAATCTCGACTTGCAAGATCGCTCTTTCCGTACGCGTGAGGGCAGTCGGCTGCTCAGTAACGCCCGCAATTCCACGCCAAAAGCCGCGAGTAGTGTTTTCTTTTTCGCTGTTGTCGTTGGCAGCATAAGCGGTAGAAGAAGAGTACCATAAATACCCGAAGGTGAGACTGGCACAGTAAAAGACGAAGAAAACCTGAAGAGCAGTTTTTTCCTGCTGTTTTTTAGATTGATAGCCGGCGCGATCGATAGCAACATCAACATCACAATTTTCGTTTACGTTCCAGCACAGCGGATTAAAAGAATATTTTTTCCTTTGAAATTGCCTGGAGGATGGATGTAAGTAAGTAGGCCTCGTGCCGCCATGTTTATTGTGAGTTTTGCAAACTTTAAATCTCGCCTCTCGCCTCAGGTGATCACGTGATGCCTCGTGCTCAAATGCGCGTTAGAGCCCAGACTTCTCATGGAAATATTATTGTTTTGAGCCACCTTTAAAAATTCGTCAGCTTAAAAACCTAAACCTTACCTGGACTCTGTACTTTGCTGGCTAACAAAAGCCTACAGGAAAGAAAAGAATTTCAGAACTAACAATTTTTAAAGTAAGGAAGCGATATATCACACACGAAAGACCGTGTTTGACCACATTTCCAAACACCGAGAAGAGAGTTGAAAATACGACGTGCACCGGAGTATTTTTGACGAACTTCGAGGTGTTTGGAAATGTGGTCAAACACTGTCTTGAGTGTTTGATATATCTTCTCAATCGAAACTAAAACTAAGGAGAAAACGGAGAAATAAAATTGTCAAAATCTACGCTAATTAAGATCAGATATCCAAACACCGCCGCGGTCATAATTTCCTTTGTCCAAACTTGATGAATTATTAAGGAGTTTGAGAAGTGCATGTTGCAGCATAAAAATATTGTTATGTAATACATTTGATTTAAAGCTGTTTTCTCTTGAGTATCGAAAGGTACTTTTACACCTTTTGCTGTTCATTTACAGAAAATAAACATTCATTTGTGTCCAAATTTCTTTCTTTATGGTCAATAAACTCTCATTAACACCAATATGACCTTCATTTGCGCGTAAGGAACGTTCAAGGATAACATTTACATATGCATTAACATTCAAAATCATCAAAAGAAAAACAATACCTTCATTTGACATTCATTAGCACTAAAGATTGTTACCTTCATGGATATGGTTGCCTAATAATGCAATTGAATGTTAGTTCTCATGCAAACTGTGTTATTGAAAGTCTTTTGTTGAAAACTGAATGTCCTAAAGTGTAAATGATTGTCGTTTCGCGACAACGAATTTTTTTTCGACCAAAATGAAAATACATTTACAGTCAATGAATGTCAAATGAAGGTATTGTTTTTCTTTTGATGATTTTGAATGTTAATGCATATGTAAATGTTATCCTTGAACGTTCCTTACGCGCAAATGAAGGTCATATTGGTGTTAATGAGAGTTTATTGACCATAAAGAAAGAAATTTGGACACAAATGAATGTTTATTTTCTGTAAATGAACAGTAAAAGGTGTATTAGTTTTCCGTTTCTACGCTACGGGATTGGCTTAAGAAAGATCGCGCCACGTTTTCATCCAATCAGAAGTAATAACCAATCCGGACCCGCGCTTCGTGTTAGCTACATGTAATGACTTCCAGTTTTGATTTGTTCACTGGATTGGCGATTAATTGTGTTTTGGTTTTACAGCACTCAGTTGAAAACCGCTCTAATTGCCAAACGTTTGGCCTGTAAGAGTTACTGCATTCTATACAGTGTACAGCATTTCTGCGTTCACAATTCTAGAAGTCTTCGAAACATCAACAAAGTTGCTCTGGGTGCCGGAGGCTTTTCTTAAGAAGTTTCTGGTTTTGGTCAAAGTATTGCTTACGTGCAGACGTTTACTACATCCTTTAAAGTAGAAGACGTTTGCACGCAGGCTTGTTCCGATATCATTAAAGTTATGGCCTTGCCATGAGAAACACCTCTGGTGCTCCGAGTACAACATACCTAGGTTACATTTTTGCGGCAATATAATAATGATATTTCAATCAGAGGCTACAGTTTCGGTGATCAAAACAAATTCATCGTCCCAACTTCAACTGAAACTGGTAAGCAATTTAACGAAATCATCAAATTTTCTACGGAAGATAAGCAGACTTACAAACTGATGACAGGCTTTAGAATGCCTGACATAAGATCTACTGTTAGTAACTAGTCGCACAAGCAGTTATTATGCAGCTGGATGTAAAAAAAATAAGAGATTTACGGAAGGAGAGAGTAGTACTATGCGATACGTGACGGGCGTTACTGGTAATCTAAGAAGTGTGTTGTGTTGTTGCCAAACGTTTTCTATTTCATCCTATAAGGATTAAAAGAGATCTCACGACAAATTAAAGCGCTTAAAACACTCCAAGAGGTCTTGACAATACACTGATGAAGAATGGCGAGTGGATCATTCTCTTTGACCGAGGGTGTTGCGTTTATCGCAGCTTCGCTAGCAAAACGTTTTTAAACATGGAGATTTTAAAAACGCGAAGCAGCAACGGCATTATACCGATGTGCGACTAAAATTATAAGCCGAATTCAAGAAGCTACAAGAGAATCCACAAAACTGCAACGATAATACAGATTTACCTCAAGAGGTTTATCGAGGGTAAAGCATGCCTCACTCAAGTCGTACGAGTCAAATCTGCCCATTTTGTCGTCTTTAGACATTATGGAAAAGAAACATAGATCTCTCCATGGTAGGACAACTCGAGGACTTTGAAGTTTCTTTTATGACGTCACAGTTTTGTCATAATGGTGAACTGTCTTATGGTAGCATTCATCCTGTTGTCACGCATGAAGTGAGATAACAGAAGAAAGATTTTGTGTTGCCATAGTCTGAGTCGGTGCATGTAGTAACGAAGGACAGTGGAACCCCGTTAATCCGGTCACTAACGGGCCACAAAAATCTGGCCGTATTAATGGAGTGGCCGTATTAAAGGGGTTTTCTAAATGAGAAAATGACTGACTATATATTAAGCTTTTGTTCGGGCCGGAATAAAGTTGGCCTAATAACGAGGTGGCCGTATTATGAGGTGTCCGTAAGGCGGGGTTCCACTGTACTCTCTTTCGTCATTTATGCAGGAATTTGTCATTTCTTTCAATATTGGTTCAAGTCGTCACCGTGCGCGCGCAAAGTCCAAAAGTCACACAAAATCTTCACACAAGCTTCTTTAGATCAACCGGTGGGACGTCGACTGAAATAGCAGCTACCAATGCAAGGGGACTAAGCATCCTGTACACCTTGGTCAGGCAAAGAACAAAGGTTTCTAGTCTGTGGAATAACGGGTAATCAGAGTGCTAGGCAGTGCAAAGCAACTAACATTCGTTGCCGGAGATGCGCGCGCAAGGCGCGCGCACCATGATAAGCCGCGAGCGCCTGCCTTACGGTGTAAGCCATAAAGGATACTTTTCCTATTCAGTATACGTACCACACGAAATCCAGTCCAGTGGAGACTGACATTTAGTTGATTAAAGGGAAATTGACTACATCTAGCCGGTTACGCCTGGGTGGACGGTACGTAAGAGATTGGCTAGCCCACTAGCAGGTTTTGCCGATTTTGTTGTTGTTTTGTGCTTTTTAAGGGACAAAAACAAAACGTTCCACAACCAAACCAAGAGAGCCTGCTCGTATAGTAGGGAGCGTAAAATGATGGAGAGCTATGTCAGTTCTCTGGAAGTCGCTTTTTTTGTGTCAGCCCGTAAAATGACTGTCTTGCTCGAGGAATCCTTTAAAAAAAAAGTGCCGTGAGGGAATATCATGGCAGCCAGCTCATGGGGTAAGGGGCTAAGTTAGAGGTTTGGGTCTGTGGTTCCCCACTGAACACTGTTGATGGACCCCAGGTAGGAATGCGGACGGCTTAGACGAATTATGAGACTCAAACAGAGTTTAATACCTTGTTCCATCCTATTCCAAAATATTGAAATGGATAAAACTCCCACGCTAACGTCAAAAATTAGTCCACTTCACTGTGCCCCTCATGCTCCAACGCCTAATTATCCCATGATCTGCGGTACAGACAAGAAGGGATTACCCCACCGGATTATGCCGATTATCTGCAATTCCTTCTCGCACCGTGTGTCCTTTCGTGTGACAACGAAAATTATGTTTGAAAAGCAAGGGACTGCAACAGCAAGCGCAGGAAAATCGACTGCGAAGAAAGTTGCCGCACCGTCCAGTATTTTGCGGCCACTAGTGGTTTGTGGTTCTCACACCCTTTCTCCTTTGTACTGTTTCATATTTCACCCGTTCTTCACAATCTGAATACCTACTTCGTTGTGGAGAAGGAAAAACCTTTCAAGGAAGTATAGTAGTGCATTCGCTTGCGGGTGGCTGAGCGTGTATAAAAATTGCTTCATCCTGTTTGCAAGGTTGGATAGAAATTGGCTACAACCACGCATCAGTAAAATTCAAGAAAACGAACATTCGCCGCCTTAGTTGTCTTCAGTTTTTTTTATTCTCAATCGGTAATGACTTAATTAAAAATAAATAAAAACACACCACTAACAGAAAACCTCTCGAGTTTGGCGGTTGTTGAACACATGTCCCTTTGAACCGCGGAAGCTCTATAATTTGAAGAATGTGCCCGCAAAATAATGCCTCGCACGAAAATAAGCTTTTCAAGTTCCCCCGCAGCTTCTAGATCTTCTATAAATTGTAGCCATTCCATGGCGTGATCTGAATTAAAAATTTTAGTTTAGTTACCAGCGAATTGAAAAAAACTCAAACGTAAAATAAGAGTGTTTATTTTCGTATGTCTGGGCGTGCCGACGGGAAAGCGGCCTGGGTGAGACATAGCAACCATTTATCACCCGCTGCCGATCCGGGCTCTAAATCGACGTCAACCAAAACGGGTTTGTATTTCAGTTTTGCCGCCTTAGTCGAAAACACGTTTCTGTATGTTCACTCCCGGAGGCGGTTCCTGTTTACGTGCCCGGCTTCCCTTTGAAACAAACGCACAGGACGGCTGGAACTTCAAGGTAAGCAGAATTTCGAAGTTGACAGTAACCAGTAAATCACAGCTGTTAATTTGTTTTTATTATTTCTTGCAAATTTTCGCGCGTTATGAAGTTATAAACACACCTGGCTTGAGCGGATGTGATTTTAATGTTGCTGTACTTATTGCTCACTTGACTTTGCCCAAAGAAAACGCAAAACAAACGTGGTAGATCTATTAAACTGAAAGCCTCGAAAACAGGTAGTGCGTTTTTCACCTAGGCTAATGCAAAATCCGCAATGTCAACGCCAAGTAAAGCTTAGATTAATCCCTACACTCGTTCACGTGGCTCTAACAGTGTTGTATTTTCAAGGTGATAAATTTAAGATACTTTTTCCAGAGGTTACATTAATTCTTGGGTTGTATTTTCTTGATTATAGCAGCACTTTTTGGCAATATGCATTCAATAAAAATCCTTATCTCGAAATTTGTTCTGGATGTTTTTATCGACTACAAGTTCATCGGCACCACGTGCATTCAAGATGTCTTCCAACATAAGTCCGATAAACACTCAGTACTGAAAAGAGCAAAACTCTCTCGCTTTCCGCAATCCAGCAGGAGACTGCAAATCCTCGCCAACAAACACGTACTGTTCAGGCGGAATAGCAAAAGATAAAATTGATTTTGCTTTAAATCTAGTAAATCTGCTACCCTTTCACCCACGTGTTGTTGGTTATGTTTTGGCTTAGGAAATTGATCAAAGTTCACGACCTCGTAATTAGAGGTCTCGTGCCACCCGCGGGCAGAGAGCGAGAAAAACAGGGCCGGCAAACTCGCGCAGTTTATTTCCGGTTATGAAAAATGGTGGTGCCGAGAGCGGAAATAGGTTTTAAAAATACCTTTCTTACCTTCATTATATTGTTTACTGCCGATAGCCTATTTATCTCTCGAAGTCAGGCAGGGATTAAGGGGCGAGACGCGCACATTTGGACCCCATTTCGTCCATACTGCTCCTTCGCGTTTGCGTTCACAGATCAACGTTCGTCTGACTCTGTGAGAAGAGACTTGCTGCCAGCAGTCTATTATATTTGGGCAAGAGATTATGATCCTGATTTGGGCACGGAAATGAGTCATTACTCATATGTACATGTGATGATTTTATAAATACATTTTACCGACAAGCTAAATTCAGTGCATATGCTCAGGAGAAAATAAAGCCTTACTAGATAAATGTCGGATATATTTTAGTTTTGTGATGAACAAACTGACTGTCAAATCAACGAAGTCCAGAGTATTAGATCATTAATGAGAAAGAAGTAATAATAACCCAAAAATTAAATGAGGATGGTCGTGGATTAGGATAACAATCTTGATAGAAGTTTTTTTCAACATGCGTTTTCCGTGCCATAGTTTCCTTATCTCACATCCTATGATTATTAACAGATTGATTAAAATAGGAAAGCGCTCAGCCCTGAGATAGATCTAGATAGGAACATTTCTTTCTACATTATGAGCACGAGATCCATATCCCGTGATAATAATCGTCCACTGTATGCATATGTCACTTTAGAAGTTTCGGCGCTTTCCTGAAATATACTTAGTAGGTGCCTATCGAAAAACGGCGCTCAAGGAGTAAAACGATGAGAATTCAAAGGCTACCGCAAGGCTGATACAACGTGGTATATTTAAAATAATATAGCTTATTGGCCATGGAAAGAGGTGCTGAATCCACTTATTACAGTAGTCCCTGCTATCTCTTTATCTTTCATCCTTTTCGCTTCAATTCCCGTGGATGACCCTCGGGATTCCCGAAGTTTTGCAACGCCTTCTTATCCCTTGCTTAAGACGTCAAGAAAGCTAGGATTCTATTTAGATGAGTGCCTCACAGCCAAGAGAGGACGAAAATAAACGGTCTTATTTCATTGCCAGTTAAGGACGAGGCAATGAAAAGAATCGAACTCTTTTCTCACCGAAGCATTTTTATTGATCTAATTTTTCCCCTTCCTGCTGAGATGTTTCGTAGAATGTTAGCATGCGCGTAAGCTGAATAAAATGACAAAGTTAAGCCAGTTAACCAGCTTAGCCAAGCACTACAACGTAAACGTCAATGTCAACATACAAATTCTCCTTTGTCATCCCCATTAATTCGCTATAGAAGCAGTTAGATGAATTTGATTTGGATCAGGCGGCTAATTTCCCTTTTGGCCTTTCGGAGGAGATGTGTTGATTGCGGCTACGTCAGATAGCAGTTGGCAAAGGAGGTGTTGTAAATGCTCTTACTCAATTTAAACGTGATGAACATAATAAGACAGCCCCTCCCCACATTTCAACCATTAAAAAATGGCGCGTTTTGATTTTAGCGCACGTCATCGCTGATTTTCGAGGAGTGGGGTGGGAGGAGGGAACTTTATATCTCTGATTATTATACCCAAGATCAGTTCCGAGATTGTAGGATCTACATTGTAGGTTACTAATTATACCAATGAGATCATAATTTATCTAAATTGCTATCTATTAAAAATAAACGTGGTTGCTTCTTTGATTACGCGAGTTTTTTTGTGTTTTTGTTTATGTTGTTTTTTTCATGCACTCTTATCACCAGAGACTGCAAACTGTTAAGGAGTTGCCTAATAGAATCAAAGCTTTCAGACACGATGTGTCGTCCGAAATGAATTTGTGAATTGAAGGTGAATTACATTCTGCTCATGCGTGTGAACAGCCCTGCACAAATTGGGGCGATTAAATTTAATTTGGTCTCAACTTTGCAAACATCTTTATTTGCCGAAGGTTAGCAGAAGTACAAACACACAGCTGTAAAAATAATGAAGAAAAAATTTGCGTGCAGTGATACAGTATCAAACATCGTTATCGAGTTTAGCCAAAGATACACCAAGGTGATACAACTCCATATCAGATGATAATTATGATATTGCAGGGCATCTATTGTAATGGACACATAAGATGTCATCGTGTTACCGTGATATCGAAGGCACGATCTTTCTTCGAAAGGAGCTTTTAAACAACGTACAGTATCCCTCGATTAGCGAGGTCATTAGTTAACACCATGAATTTGCAAATGTCATTTGGGATAAAGAGATGGAATATTACCGCACGCGCGCTGTCGCAAATTACGCTCTCCTCGAAAGGAATCCGGCCAGGTGAACACGGTTATCTTTTTATTTCATTTTGAAATCCTAAACGAAAATCTTAGTGCCTTCCTGCCTGCCTTCTAACTCGATTAAGTCGTATGCATTTCAAATTAGTTTAAAAAATTCACCTCCGTCCTTATCTCTGGAAATCACACCTCTTAGAAACGCTTACGATGTAAGTACGCGGCCTAGAAGAAGTCCATTACTCAACTTGTATGTCGTTAGATGCAGATCTAATACAATCACTGTATTCAATGTAAGGTTATACGTGTTCTGCTACCCTGAGTTCAGTGTACGGAAAAGCCCAAACGTCCACATTATTAATGAGGTATTGTAAACTCCTAGCAATCTGTACAATGTTGACTTCTTTCATCATGTTTTACTCCGGTTTGTTTTTCCTTCTTAGAAGCGGTAGAAAATCGGCGCCTTGGACTTCCGCAGAAGGGACAAGATTTTCTAGCATTGTTCTAGGCTTGGCCACGGCATTAAAAGGGTCATCGCAGCAGATAATCCAAGGTTTTCACTTAGTATCGGCCATGACTTCGGAATGTGTTGTTTTTCGCGAGTTCTTTGCGCAAGAAGCTTGTGAAAGTGTCAGTCCAAAAAATGGGGATATGTCTTCGAATGGATCGTTGGAAACGGAGACGATCCAGAAATTTTTATCCATCTGTTTAAAACAGTACTTCAGCAGCTCTCAGGATGACACGAAGGTAAGATCTGGTTCTCCTGAAATCCTCAATGTAAACATTTTCTGTTATTTTGTTGCGGTTTACTTTAATAGTGTGGTTATGTTTCTAAAATCCGACCAGAAATACAGTAACAGCATAACCAATGGTTATTGCCCTCGGTTTTGTTTTGCTCTGCTATGATAGTTATAGAAAGATTATTAAATTTAGCCACAGGATAGAAAATTCGTAATGATTTTATATTTCTTCATTTCTTTTCGTCAGTTTTTAATTTCTTTAATTTATTTTTGCTTGGGCAAAAGCGTTTTTAAAGTGTTTATCCGGTTGGATAAAAAGTAAGTTAAAACGGTTCGGGCTGAACGGATCGTAAATGAACGAATATGTGTCTGATGTTTAATCTTTTAATCCTCCAGTATTTTATAATGAAGGATTCCTAGGCAAAGCGGTTACTTTTTCCTTTTTTTTTTTCTTTCAAAAAAGAAGTGGATTTGCCACGCTGTATTCACAGCGGGCTTGGCTCTTTTTATTGACTCGTATATTATTGACTCCTGCATTATTAACTCCTTTATTGTTATAACAAAGAGTAGGCGCGGGTAGATATTTCGCGTATTTCAGGCATCCCTCCTCTGGCGGCTTCCTTGAATTGTCTTAGCTCTTTTAATGCGGTAAATCTAGGAAATCCTAATATGCTTGAGTGCTTGGTCAGTTAGGAACTGAATTACTATAACCAAAACGTGATAGAAATGTTTTTTCTTTCCTGTAAGTCGCAAAGGTTATCTTCGACCTTATCCTAAGTTGCCGATTAGTGTTTTTAAATCTGTTCGAGTGTAGCCGTCATTTCGCTCGTGAGCGATGTACTCCTATATTTCCCAAGAGCAGGAGTTGTTTTCCAAATTCCAACTCCTTTTCAGCAAAATTAAAGTCATCGGCTTCTCGGATTAGGACGAAATTCTCCCGTGGAGGTCTACAGGAATGCGGGAAGAAAAGTAAGGAGAGTTTTGATTGTGATCTTATGGCTGATGTAACTGAAGACCCATGTAACCAAAGAGATAAAAACGACAATCCAAGAAAGGAAAATGAATTTTTGCAACTAGAGAAGTTTGTGTCGGTCGTGGACTAGGAATGGCGAACTTGAAACATTTAGGATAAATTTTTTAATGATATACGTCCTCGCAATATTTGAGCACTGCAATATCCATTTATCCACGTTGCTGATCTATGGATCAACTCCAACATGTTTTCACACAGATAGCTATAGGTTATTAATTTAAATGGCTAGTGGACTGGATTCCGGATGCAGAAGTCCAGGCTCCAGTCGGATCGGAAGAGGCTCGGTGGAGGAGGGATAGGGTGTGTGATACTTGTGTTGGTCATGGCCCTTGACTTTTAAAGTGTTTCCCATACCATCCCTTTGAACTTAAGACTGATGCACTCGCATCATGAAAACACCTTTCGTTTGCCCAGTTCTTCACTGAAGGGAACTGTTCAAGAAATAATCTCACGAACTTCGTCTTTGTCTAAGCCTGATAGGGTAACCTGCGATCCATCAGCCGTTCTTTTTTCTTGGCGAACGGAGGAAGGGGAAAAAAGAACGCCTGAACGCAGGTTAAGTAAGGCGGACACCTCTGTCACAGACAGTTAAATGAAGGTTGCAAAAATATTAGCTTAACATCTAGCTGACATTGCACAGCTGGAATTGAAAATTAGCGTTCTTCAATCTTGTCAGAAAAGGTATTTTTGGTTGATCCTTTAATTCCTTTAATTTTAATTTTCAAATGAGCCAGGTATGTGCTAAAGTGAGTATCAAAAAATTACTATCTGGATTAAGATAAGGTAGCTCAAGTGGAACCTGGCATGACCATGAGAAGGGAGGTGTCCGCTCAATACAGAAGACCGCGCAAACTTTGCGCGGTCCTCTAAAATAAGCAGACCCATCCAATCTGTCAAGTGTCATGTCGAGAAACAGTTCTCCGTCAAACAAATTTTTTTTTTCCCTGAATGAAGAGTTCCGTCTATCAAACGACTGCTATTAGGTTTCTGAGATTACAGTGGTTTCTAGATGTTCTACGGGCCACTGTATTTCAAACGTAAATCAGATTGCCTAAGCCTCTTTATAAAGTTGAAAAAAGCTCTTTAGTTTTCAAACTGATCCCTATTTCCCAAAAGAACGCTTTAATCAATTCACTAGGAAAGTTATTTCTGGCGTCAGCTGTTACCGTTTTGTGTGTGTGTGGTCTTTCCACATCTTCATGTAACCCACTTAAGCGCATTACGTACTTATTTTATCACCTTCCATGATCCTCTTTTTTTATCCAAAATTGCACGGCCACGCTTTAATAAATTCTTGATAAAAAAAAAATAAAACAGCAAAGTTCGGTTTAAGGTTTTCTTTCTAAGGTTTTCTACGAATACACTCCATTCTATAATCTAGGTTGGCAACTATGAATTAATTCTAATCATAAGTTTAGTGCTCCAGTTAAAATAGTAAAACTTAAGTTAGCGTTTGGCCTACGAAAAAAAAACACGGAGGTATTGTTAGAAAACCTTATCAAAAACGATATACTGAACTTTGCCGGGCTTTTTTATTTCTGTTTGTTTCTTGACTTTGTTTTGTTTTGTTTTGTTTTTTTGTTTTTTGTTTTTTGTTTTTAGTTTTTTGCAATATCTTTTCTAAGCGCCTTATTCTGATCCTGCAAATCTGATCTTATTATTTTATCGAAAACAGATTGATAACTTGAAGGGGATAATCTTGGACACCAACTGCCTTTGTTAAACTGAACATACCCGACAAACTTAAGCTCGGGTGTGAATATAAATGCCTCATTAAATCACCTTTGGTTATTTCTATCAAGATTTCAATACATCTACGTTCTTGTTCAGTTCTCACGTAAGATTTACCCACGGGCTGAATGTAAAATACTTTGTTTTGTTTATAGAAAACAAGTAAGTAAGTTTTGAATTGTTATTGTAGTTACGATAAATTTCGCTTGTCATTAGGAAAAGGACTTATCTTGTGAAGATAGCAATGTGGACAGTCAGCTTAGCGCAGATGTCACTTGCACATTTTGCAAGGACGACATGACACCAGTGACGCTGGCTTTGAAGGTGAGCCAAATATTGATTGCTGTATTTTGTGGCACAAGCTGGGAGAGTTTTGCCTATGAGTCTATATTTCCCTGTGGACATCGTGCACTTGTGTTTGCTCCTCACGCAATTTCCCTACCTCATCCCCTTCGGCCACCGGGAAGAATGAATGAGGGACGTGACAGTAGAAAGCCTGTGTTGAGAAGAAACTTTCAAGTATAAGGGTCGTTTAAGCGTTCAAGGAAACCGGAATTCGTCTCTTGCAAACATAATTTGCCATATTCAAATTCTTCTCTAAACTGCGCGAATTTAGCTTTTTCCAGGAATGATGCCAATTGAGACCCCTCGCATATTTTACGCCAAAATCACCACCGAGGTCCTGAACGTCTTTTCGACAAGATAGGGAACACATCAAAATTAAATTAGGGCGACCAGCATGAGAGCGACAACCGCTGACCAATGTCTGGGATCGCAGCCTCGGCTGGCCATATTTTTCCTTTGAAGTACCGGTGTCAGAACAACGCGAGAAAAAAGCTTCAACTTTAGGGGTATTTGTTTTTCTTTTCCGTTAAAAGTAAAGCATTGAGAAAGCATTGAGCAATTAAAGAAGCATTAAAGCATTAAGAAGCATTGAGAAGCATGACAGAAATATTTTCAAATACTTAATTGATTGAAACCCCCCGGCATTTCTCTACAATTGTGCAACAATGAGTCCCACTTCAAATTTGTCAAGCCTTGGTTAACTCAATATCCACACAACTTAAAAAACCTCATCGGAAATTGAAAACACTTGGAATCGACTAAAATTACGTTGAATATCGGCCTTGTTTCCGCCTCGCCGTCGTTGTTTGGACGAGCTGCGAGGGTAAATTAAGCTATTCACATTAGTAAGTGAATGTTTATGTCGCCTGCTACATTCCTTGGCGTCATTTTGTATTAAAACATTTTTTGGTGTGGCCAATCGTCTCAATGGCATATTTCTAAAATGGGCGGGAAACTATTGTTTCACAGACAAACAATCTCGGAAATGAATCTCACAAATATAGCAGCGAAACACAAAGGAAGGATATTAAAATGCGAGTGCCATACTGTAATTTATTCAATACTGTTTTCATGCTTCTGCACAAAAGATCACATCTGGATCATTTTTAGAATTTCTCTGTAAAAGCCGCCTTACTCGAGTTTTGAGCGTATCTTGAGAAGTGAAAGAAAACTCGTCTAAATCAAAGGTAGGTTCAACATTACTGGGTTTGTAAGAGCGATAAAATATTGTTTCATAATGTTGACTATATGTTCTTCAGCCGCGAAAATTGCCGAAAATTCTTTGCAATTTCTGTAGAACTCGAAACGCTTGAGGAATGTTAAGTCCAGAGACAGGCGGAAAGCCCGAAATCATAGATTTTGAACTATCAATCAAGTTAATGATTTGTAATTTATGAAGTACGATTTTGTAGAAACAAGCGAAGGAGACACTTGTCAGTTTTGTATCGCGAACTTGATTTTATATTTTTCCTTCGCAGTGATTGTACAACCATGTTTATATGAAGCCGCGTGTATTCACCACTTGTCGAAAATTTTAATCACGTTCAACACAGCCGTTTCCTTGTCTCGTGTAACGTCAATTTATTCACAAATCTCAACATGTGTTTTTGTGTACAGTTCGGCAAACATGAGGCGAATTTGAAGTAGTCACGAACATTGAATCTTCAATAACCATAAACACACATATAATAAGGTAAACAGTGCCACCGGCACTGCTAGTAAAATGACTGAATGTTTGAGTCCTGTGAAGCTTAAAAGAATTCTCTGAATAGCGGTCTTGAAGTCCCGAACTCGCGATCGAAGGCAAGGCTTGGGAATCACACGATCGCGTGAGGTAAATCTAAAGGTCAATTGATGCGGTAATTATCTCTCGATGGAGTTAGCGCGCGCGCGCTTCGAGTTTGTCATAGCCTTAAGCCGTATGAGCTGTTGAAGGATATGGCAGTGAAATCTCATTTGTTGAAGATCTAACCACAGCGTATTTCCTTTCACATTCTTTCAATACATCGTATTGGCTCTTGCCCAGACGAAAATAACCCAGTGAAAACATTTCGTTTGGTCGGCAACATTTTGAGCTCAAGTTGGGAGTTTCAACTTTGTTAGAATGGATGGCGCTGCGAGTTTCTCACTCCAGTGTTCGTATTTTTCACCCAAACAGAATCACTTGGACGTGTGTCCTCTTTTCCCGGTCAAATGTCCTAACATGTGTGGCAAGATGGAGGTTCCTCGAGAAAAGGTAGAGTATAAAACTCAAAACTGAAAAATTATCATGAATAGCAATGGTTATAGCAGTATGTACAAAATTTCCTAGATTACGATCGGATGCCTCTTCCGTTCAAGTGGTACATTTTATAGTACAAGTAATATTTACTTCAAGTGAATCGCGCGTCGCGTTTGTGATGAATGTAAATGTTTAATTCAAATCTTCAAAGTATTTGATGTGGTCTTTCAATATTTTTAAATACTTTGACGACAGTCCGCGTTCTCAGTCAAGTTTATCGGTTGTTTTCATTTTAAAATATCTTTGCGGAACTACGAGTCTTAAATATTTGTTACATGCAAAAAATAAAATTCAATGATAAGTAGCATCTTATCGACATATCATTCGCTTGAGAGGTTATCTGCTATGAAACATCTTAATTTATTTCTCAAATGACGATATTACCTTCTCAAGCGATAAGCAACAGCATAATTATTTCCAGAAAGCTAAAATTCTGAGAAACGCTATGTTTCAGTTCACTGGATTGAAAGTCGAGAAACTGGGAGATGTTATAAATCTCGAATTATTTTATGGCCGGCTGGCAATTATGCCATGTTTTCCAGGCATCAGTACAAACTTACACGCTGTGAATTTTATTGTATAAGGACTTCAAATTGTGCTACTTTCTCGAACTTTACCACTACTCTAGTCAGTTTAGCTTCTCCTTAAATATAATTTTTTTCTTTTTTGAAAAGTAGTCTATTAAAGGGGTTGACTTAAAGAATCACAGGGCCTTTGGAAATTTTTGTGACAANCGGCTTCCTTGAATTGTCTTAGCTCTTTTAATGCGGTAAATCTAGGAAATCCTAATATGCTTGAGTGCTTGGTCAGTTAGGAACTGAATTACTATAACCAAAACGTGATAGAAATGTTTTTTTTCTTTCCTGTAAGTCGCAAAGGTTATCTTCGACTTTATCCTAAGCAGCCGATTAGTGTTTTTAAATCTGTTCGAGTGTAGCCGTCATTTCGCTCGTGAGCGATGTACTCCTATATTTCCCAAGAGCAGGAGTTGTTTTCCAAATTCCAACTCCTTTTCAGCAAAATTAAAGTCATCGGCTTCTCGGATTAGGACGAAATTCTCCCGTGGAGGTCTACAGGAATGCGGGAAGAAAAGTAAGGAGAGTTTTGATTGTGATCTTATGGCTGATGTAACTGAAGACCCATGTAACCAAAGAGATAAAAACGACAATCCAAGAAAGGAAAATGAATTTTTGCAACTAGAGAAGTTTGTGTCGGTCGTGGACTAGGAATGGCGAACTTGAAACATTTAGGATAAATTTTTTAATGATATACGTCCTCGCAATATTTGAGCACTGCAATATCCATTTATCCACGTTGCTGATCTATGGATCAACTCCAACATGTTTTCACACAGATAGCTATAGGTTATTAATTTAAATGGCTAGTGGACTGGATTCCGGATGCAGAAGTCCAGGCTCCAGTCGGATCGGAAGAGGCTCGGTGGAGGAGGGATAGGGTGTGTGATACTTGTGTTGGTCATGGCCCTTGACTTTTAAAGTGTTTCCCATACCATCCCTTTGAACTTAAGACTGATGCACTCGCATCATGAAAACACCTTTCGTTTGCCCAGTTCTTCACTGAAGGGAACTGTTCAAGAAATAATCTCACGAACTTCGTCTTTGTCTAAGCCTGATAGGGTAACCTGCGATCCATCAGCCGTTCTTTTTTCTTGGCGAACGGAGGAAGGGGAAAAAAGAACGCCTGAACGCAGGTTAAGTAAGGCGGACACCTCTGTCACAGACAGTTAAATGAAGGTTGCAAAAATATTAGCTTAACATCTAGCTGACATTGCACAGCTGGAATTGAAAATTAGCGTTCTTCAATCTTGTCAGAAAAGGTATTTTTGGTTGATCCTTTAATTCCTTTAATTTTAATTTTCAAATGAGCCAGGTATGTGCTAAAGTGAGTATCAAAAAATTACTATCTGGATTAAGATAAGGTAGCTCAAGTGGAACCTGGCATGACCATGAGAAGGGAGGTGTCCGCTCAATACAGAAGACCGCGCAAACTTTGCGCGGTCCTCTAAAATAAGCAGACCCATCCAATCTGTCAAGTGTCATGTCGAGAAACAGTTCTCCGTCAAACAAATTTTTTTTTTCCCTGAATGAAGAGTTCCGTCTATCAAACGACTGCTATTAGGTTTCTGAGATTACAGTGGTTTCTAGATGTTCTACGGGCCACTGTATTTCAAACGTAAATCAGATTGCCTAAGCCTCTTTATAAAGTTGAAAAAAGCTCTTTAGTTTTCAAACTGATCCCTATTTCCCAAAAGAACGCTTTAATCAATTCACTAGGAAAGTTATTTCTGGCGTCAGCTGTTACCGTTTTGTGTGTGTGTGGTCTTTCCACATCTTCATGTAACCCACTTAAGCGCATTACGTACTTATTTTATCACCTTCCATGATCCTCTTTTTTTATCCAAAATTGCACGGCCACGCTTTAATAAATTCTTGATAAAAAAAAAATAAAACAGCAAAGTTCGGTTTAAGGTTTTCTTTCTAAGGTTTTCTACGAATACACTCCATTCTATAATCTAGGTTGGCAACTATGAATTAATTCTAATCATAAGTTTAGTGCTCCAGTTAAAATAGTAAAACTTAAGTTAGCGTTTGGCCTACGAAAAAAAAACACGGAGGTATTGTTAGAAAACCTTATCAAAAACGATATACTGAACTTTGCCGGGCTTTTTTATTTCTGTTTGTTTCTTGACTTTGTTTTGTTTTGTTTTGTTTTTTTGTTTTTTGTTTTTTGTTTTTAGTTTTTTGCAATATCTTTTCTAAGCGCCTTATTCTGATCCTGCAAATCTGATCTTATTATTTTATCGAAAACAGATTGATAACTTGAAGGGGATAATCTTGGACACCAACTGCCTTTGTTAAACTGAACATACCCGACAAACTTAAGCTCGGGTGTGAATATAAATGCCTCATTAAATCACCTTTGGTTATTTCTATCAAGATTTCAATACATCTACGTTCTTGTTCAGTTCTCACGTAAGATTTACCCACGGGCTGAATGTAAAATACTTTGTTTTGTTTATAGAAAACAAGTAAGTAAGTTTTGAATTGTTATTGTAGTTACGATAAATTTCGCTTGTCATTAGGAAAAGGACTTATCTTGTGAAGATAGCAATGTGGACAGTCAGCTTAGCGCAGATGTCACTTGCACATTTTGCAAGGACGACATGACACCAGTGACGCTGGCTTTGAAGGTGAGCCAAATATTGATTGCTGTATTTTGTGGCACAAGCTGGGAGAGTTTTGCCTATGAGTCTATATTTCCCTGTGGACATCGTGCACTTGTGTTTGCTCCTCACGCAATTTCCCTACCTCATCCCCTTCGGCCACCGGGAAGAATGAATGAGGGACGTGACAGTAGAAAGCCTGTGTTGAGAAGAAACTTTCAAGTATAAGGGTCGTTTAAGCGTTCAAGGAAACCGGAATTCGTCTCTTGCAAACATAATTTGCCATATTCAAATTCTTCTCTAAACTGCGCGAATTTAGCTTTTTCCAGGAATGATGCCAATTGAGACCCCTCGCATATTTTACGCCAAAATCACCACCGAGGTCCTGAACGTCTTTTCGACAAGATAGGGAACACATCAAAATTAAATTAGGGCGACCAGCATGAGAGCGACAACCGCTGACCAATGTCTGGGATCGCAGCCTCGGCTGGCCATATTTTTCCTTTGAAGTACCGGTGTCAGAACAACGCGAGAAAAAAGCTTCAACTTTAGGGGTATTTGTTTTTCTTTTCCGTTAAAAGTAAAGCATTGAGAAAGCATTGAGCAATTAAAGAAGCATTAAAGCATTAAGAAGCATTGAGAAGCATGACAGAAATATTTTCAAATACTTAATTGATTGAAACCCCCCGGCATTTCTCTACAATTGTGCAACAATGAGTCCCACTTCAAATTTGTCAAGCCTTGGTTAACTCAATATCCACACAACTTAAAAAACCTCATCGGAAATTGAAAACACTTGGAATCGACTAAAATTACGTTGAATATCGGCCTTGTTTCCGCCTCGCCGTCGTTGTTTGGACGAGCTGCGAGGGTAAATTAAGCTATTCACATTAGTAAGTGAATGTTTATGTCGCCTGCTACATTCCTTGGCGTCATTTTGTATTAAAACATTTTTTGGTGTGGCCAATCGTCTCAATGGCATATTTCTAAAATGGGCGGGAAACTATTGTTTCACAGACAAACAATCTCGGAAATGAATCTCACAAATATAGCAGCGAAACACAAAGGAAGGATATTAAAATGCGAGTGCCATACTGTAATTTATTCAATACTGTTTTCATGCTTCTGCACAAAAGATCACATCTGGATCATTTTTAGAATTTCTCTGTAAAAGCCGCCTTACTCGAGTTTTGAGCGTATCTTGAGAAGTGAAAGAAAACTCGTCTAAATCAAAGGTAGGTTCAACATTACTGGGTTTGTAAGAGCGATAAAATATTGTTTCATAATGTTGACTATATGTTCTTCAGCCGCGAAAATTGCCGAAAATTCTTTGCAATTTCTGTAGAACTCGAAACGCTTGAGGAATGTTAAGTCCAGAGACAGGCGGAAAGCCCGAAATCATAGATTTTGAACTATCAATCAAGTTAATGATTTGTAATTTATGAAGTACGATTTTGTAGAAACAAGCGAAGGAGACACTTGTCAGTTTTGTATCGCGAACTTGATTTTATATTTTTCCTTCGCAGTGATTGTACAACCATGTTTATATGAAGCCGCGTGTATTCACCACTTGTCGAAAATTTTAATCACGTTCAACACAGCCGTTTCCTTGTCTCGTGTAACGTCAATTTATTCACAAATCTCAACATGTGTTTTTGTGTACAGTTCGGCAAACATGAGGCGAATTTGAAGTAGTCACGAACATTGAATCTTCAATAACCATAAACACACATATAATAAGGTAAACAGTGCCACCGGCACTGCTAGTAAAATGACTGAATGTTTGAGTCCTGTGAAGCTTAAAAGAATTCTCTGAATAGCGGTCTTGAAGTCCCGAACTCGCGATCGAAGGCAAGGCTTGGGAATCACACGATCGCGTGAGGTAAATCTAAAGGTCAATTGATGCGGTAATTATCTCTCGATGGAGTTAGCGCGCGCGCGCTTCGAGTTTGTCATAGCCTTAAGCCGTATGAGCTGTTGAAGGATATGGCAGTGAAATCTCATTTGTTGAAGATCTAACCACAGCGTATTTCCTTTCACATTCTTTCAATACATCGTATTGGCTCTTGCCCAGACGAAAATAACCCAGTGAAAACATTTCGTTTGGTCGGCAACATTTTGAGCTCAAGTTGGGAGTTTCAACTTTGTTAGAATGGATGGCGCTGCGAGTTTCTCACTCCAGTGTTCGTATTTTTCACCCAAACAGAATCACTTGGACGTGTGTCCTCTTTTCCCGGTCAAATGTCCTAACATGTGTGGCAAGATGGAGGTTCCTCGAGAAAAGGTAGAGTATAAAACTCAAAACTGAAAAATTATCATGAATAGCAATGGTTATAGCAGTATGTACAAAATTTCCTAGATTACGATCGGATGCCTCTTCCGTTCAAGTGGTACATTTTATAGTACAAGTAATATTTACTTCAAGTGAATCGCGCGTCGCGTTTGTGATGAATGTAAATGTTTAATTCAAATCTTCAAAGTATTTGATGTGGTCTTTCAATATTTTTAAATACTTTGACGACAGTCCGCGTTCTCAGTCAAGTTTATCGGTTGTTTTCATTTTAAAATATCTTTGCGGAACTACGAGTCTTAAATATTTGTTACATGCAAAAAATAAAATTCAATGATAAGTAGCATCTTATCGACATATCATTCGCTTGAGAGGTTATCTGCTATGAAACATCTTAATTTATTTCTCAAATGACGATATTACCTTCTCAAGCGATAAGCAACAGCATAATTATTTCCAGAAAGCTAAAATTCTGAGAAACGCTATGTTTCAGTTCACTGGATTGAAAGTCGAGAAACTGGGAGATGTTATAAATCTCGAATTATTTTATGGCCGGCTGGCAATTATGCCATGTTTTCCAGGCATCAGTACAAACTTACACGCTGTGAATTTTATTGTATAAGGACTTCAAATTGTGCTACTTTCTCGAACTTTACCACTACTCTAGTCAGTTTAGCTTCTCCTTAAATATAATTTTTTTCTTTTTTGAAAAGTAGTCTATTAAAGGGGTTGACTTAAAGAATCACAGGGCCTTTGGAAATTTTTGTGACAA